TACTGATTAATTTAATTGTTGACAACAGCCATGGGTTTTCCCTTACAGAGGTTAATCCTTCTCTGGGTGACACCCTCGTTCGTATTGATCATCTCTGTATTGTTGATTATCTTTACTCTACGTGACGTTGTATTGGGCAAATTTGAATGATGAGTGTTTGTCAACCATTGGTCGATAGTGGTTGGTACTCAGGAAAAATTGTGTACACTGGTTACCAAGGAAAATCTATCGTTCAACTTATCCCAATATTCTAATAGCATAACACTGGGCCCTGGTCTTTCAACAAAGGATGTTTACTTGTAAATTATTACAGCCAATGACCGATCATTACATGTACAAGCAAATTCACTCCTAGAAAATCTGTGTCCGCAGGTATCAATTTGTGTGAAATCGATCTAGCCTGCTATCAATGTCTGTGAGGCAATTACAGATTTTTACTCATTGTCGCACATTGATGGCGCCCTCAATGTACGCGTGATGTTAGCCCCTGGCAGAGTCATCATTTCACTCCAAGCAAAGGCATTGCCAGGTTGGAACGGAATGCAATTGGAAGCAATGTCTGGCACCTTAGATTCATGCAGGGCAACCTGCCATATGTTGAGGCCTGTCAGCCTGAACTGGCAATTGTGTGGACCAGTCTTAGAGTCTGCTGAAGATAAAAAAAAGTGTAATTTTAGAATATGTTTCATAACAAATAAGACAAAAGAGAGTAAAAAAGAATTACAAGACTCGTTAATTGCTTTAACTTGCACTTTAATTTAAATTTGATTTCAACATCTTGGAATCGCAAATAACCTAGGGAGTTACAGTAAGTTGGCACAGTGGCACTTTCCTGACCATCTACCTCTTCTGCCTGGGTTCGAATCCCACCGAGGCCAGCATATGGACTAAGTTCTCATTCCTTACCCAATTTTGTGGATTTTTCCCAAAATATCTGTATTGGGTTTTCCTACCACTCCTCAAACTGAACATTCCTTCACTCTCTTCTTACCACGGGTCTCTAGGCAGAAGAGTTTATAACTGATAGGGCTTTTGCCCTGGTGAAAATAAATGAGCAAAAGTTTTAGGTAAAGATTTCAGGGCATGTATAGCGATCTTTTGTAGATCAGAGGAGCTCGTCATTACCAAAGGACTAACTTTCCAAGATTTTGTAAGTGACCCACCGAATGACCCTTAGAAGAAATCTCACCTCCATGGCCAATCATTAGTGCCAAACCACTCGGAATGCTTGTTGTGACACTCAACACAGTGCCCTTAGCTGCTGGCGACTGGTCCATGTACAACTTCCACTCCAAGGTTGTCCGATATTTCAAAACCAGCACAAGGTTGTGCCATCGTCCGTCACAGAAATTCCACTGGTTCCCAACAGCGGCATGAGAGCTTGAAGAACAGCAATGAAAGACAGAACACAGAAGCATGTTACTGAACAGCAAAAGAGTGAGTCTGCGTATCACCACACTGATTGGGCTTAACTCATGCGCAAAGCTGTTCACAAAGAACCCCCAGCTTAATTATAGGCAAACGCTGTTGGAAAAAGGTGACCTATAGATCCTTATACACTTACCCTTGAAGTATTACTCGAAGGCTGCACGGATTTCTGACTTCGACTATGGTTGCTAGCCCGCTGGACAACTTCACCATGACGATGCCGCTAGTGCAAGCAGACGACTTGAACCACAGTGCCAAGGAGAGTTCAGAGAGGTCAGCAGAGGTCATGCCACTGATCTCTCTGACCTGGATGAGGTTAGAGGGCATCCAGCTGGAGAACACCAGGTCAAAGTCCGCCGACAGTTCTGTGGAAGACAACAGATGAAAAACTCAACAAAATGGGCATTACAAAATTCTTGCGATTTAACTTTGAAAAATTCTTCAAAAAATACTGTCCCATATAAGTTTACGGAAAACTGAGATTTATTTCCATCAAAGTTTCTTATCAAAATATTGATTAAACAAGAACATACGTATATATAAGAGTATATTCACTTGCAGACAATAAGTGACTTTTTGAACTTCTGAAAACAAACATAGAAGTTTGGGAATAATACCAATTTCACAGTGGACCCCTGTGTATCCCGGTAGGCAAACACACTGGTAACCATCAATGTCATCTATGCACAATGCTTTATGCTGGCATGGCTGGCTCTGACATCCATTGATGTCCACATCGCAGGGTCCACCACTATGGGACAGGAATAATACCAACCACAAAATATGCAACAGAAATGTTTTGAATTTATTTCACTTTAATAATACTCAATAGAGCTATAAATTCTCAAAGGCAAATAATACTCGTGATGTTCAGTGCTACATTTTTTTCCAAACATTTGCAGTTGTGGACTTTACTTTCAGAGTGCATTTTGTAGCTTCCCTCAACTGTCAATCATAGCACTAACAATTTTTCAGCCAATTTCTCAGTCAATATTACCTCCAGGAGCAGCTACTTATGCTGACCTCACACAGTTGTCCCTTAAATCCTGCCAGACAGAAACACATGAAGCCGTTGTCGAGGTCTACGCAGACCCCGCCATTTTGACAAGGTCTGGAGGCGCACTCGTCAACGTTGGTCTCACAGTCATGACCTAAAGCAAAGGAATGGGACCAAAAAAACAGGTGAAAACCTCTTGTGACATGACTGGCAGTGATTTGGGAAACATTTTATAAAGCTGGGTTTAGTTGAGTAATTTCAAACTGATCAAAACTGTCAAGAAATGTGCCGCTGAGGAATTACAATGAAGTCATACCTGCGAACCCTGCTGCACATGTGCACTGGTACCCAACACCTGTATTACTGCATGTGGCCCCATGCTGGCATGCAGATGGTGAGCAGTAGTCAATATGATCATCACAATGGGTACCAGTGAAACCCGGTCGACATATGCAAGCGTAGCCGTTGATGTCATCTTCGCAGGCATTACCAACTCCACAGGGATTGGACGAACACTCGTCAATGTCCACTGAGCATGTGGCTCCTAAGGATACAAAAAGGGAAAATATTGGATCTGAGAAAACTCAGCTGAGGTGAAGAAAATTCAAAAGACTGCATACGTACCTCAAAGGCTGATGAAGGGTCCATTTTGTGGGGGGGGGCATTTGTAAACAGTTTCCAACAATGAATACCAATATTGTTGTTGCTGGGGGGTTCCTAAGTTTGAACTTTTCTTTATTCAAGTGAAAACTAACTTCATTTGATTATTACACTCTCAAAGGTTCAACATGTCAGCAGCTTACCAAATTCCAGCAGCTAGGAAGTCATTTTCAAAGCTAGTAACATGGTTGCCATTCTAATTGGACGAAGTTTGGCCATACAGATCTGAGGGCTTGCTGTTGTGCCAATTTAACTGAACTCACCAGCAAAACCAGGCAGGCATTCACACTGATAAGCATTGGATCTATCGACGCAGGTGCCTCCATTGGAGCAAGGATCTGACGCGCATTCATTGATATCAATGTGGCAGTTGTGTCCACTGAAACCTGGCATGCAATAACACCTGTAGGTATTGTCTGAGCTTGCCCGAAAGGTAGCGTTGTTCTGACAGGGTGTCTTGTCACACAGTTCGCCCGACTGGTGTAGGGAACAGACACAGCTGAACGTTGATCCCATATTCAAGCATGTGGAGCTGGGGTGGCATGGTGATTCCGCACACCAGTCCACGCCATTCTCACAACGCACGCCTTCGTAACCAACTGCACAGATGCAGGTGTAGCCGTTGGGCCTGTCTTGGCAGGTAGCTCCGTTAAGACACGGACTGCTAGAACACTCATTGATGTCCAAGGTGCAGTTGGTACCGCTGTATCCCGGTGCACAGTCACACCGGTACCCCCCATCATGAACTTGGCAGGTGCTTCCATTTCCACAGGGACTAGGAGAACAACTGTCAACAAAATAACAAGAACAAATGGTGATCAACTGTAACACATCCATTCCATCTCCATGCTGAGCCCTAGTCACAGATATGGTTTGTGGTTCTCACCTGTTAATCTCCAATTCGCATCGGGCACCGTGGTAGTTGGACGTACACTGGCAGCGATATCCATTAATGTGGTCATTGCACACACCTTCGTGCTCGCATGGTGAGGATGCACACTCGTCGATGTTCATCTCGCAAAATTTGCCTAAGGAAAGAATTTCAAACCTGATCTGGTCAAAGATTTATGTTCCTTTCATACAAACTGACTGTAACTTTGCTAACAAGACAGACAAAGCACAGGTTATCTTTCTTTTAATACACCTGGTGTGCTTACTTTTGAATCATATCACACCTTCCTGCTATCTTCAAATTACCTATCCATTTAAGAATACACTCCCTTGCTTGTGAGCCAAGCTCTTTTCTTTAATCCACTCAGAATTTATGCTCAGTTTACCACCAGGAAAGCCTTAAATGTAGACTATATGAAAAGACTGCAACAAAATCCGCACGACTGTCTCACCTTGGAATCCTGGTCCACACTGGCAGGAATATCCCACCAACCTATCAAAGCAGGTCGCGCCGTTGACGCATCTGTGATCTACGCAGTCATTAACATCTTCTTCACAGTGGACTCCTTGATAGCCTGGTGGACAGTCACACCGGTAACCCTCAATCAGGTCTACACAGGTAGCCTGGTGCTCGCACAGCGCAGCCACACAATCCTCCATATCTACAACAATTAAAAAATGAAAGCAATATCGACTTTACTCAATAAATTACACGTAAAAAATGAAGAATAAATAGTTCAGTGCTTGGAGTGCAATAAACAAGTTTCTTTTTTCCAATGGCCTGAGTGGTGACCTAAGTGATTCACGTTTCCCATGGTGCTTACCACCACACTGTTCTACGCTGGTAGATCCAGTGCCCGCCGTAGTGGTCCTTCCAGGACACAGTAAACAGCGTCTCTTCTGGCTGTTGGGCTGGTAGTAACGACGTGCACATGGAAGGCAGGGAGCCAGTCCAGTCTCTGAATAACTGCCTGGTGGACAGATATCTGGGTAGGAAAGGCCAAGGGCAATCAATCAATACAAAATACTATTTATTAATTAGTATCAATTTGACCTATCAGAAGAACTCTATTCACAAGTCAAAGGTGAACAGAATTCATCAGTGTACAATGACAAAACTGATCAATTTCTCACAATCAATTTCATTGGTTCACACACACACACATTGAAAGAGTCACTGAATACCAGGGAAATTGACCACACTGCTGGTAGGATGAGGATCCCTTGTATCATGCGTGCATGTGACCAAGGACAACCAAAGTCCTCAGAGCCACGAAAATCACACTGGTTCACGCTGACTCACATGCAGTTTGACCTCAAGTTTGTGTACACAGAGAGTTTGAAAGAGTGCCTGTGTGAAAATCCCAATGCCAGGTCAAAGGTCACAAGGCAACAAAAAGTTGGCTGCTCTCCAATTATTTGTCTAAATGAGCTCCTGCAGCTGTAATTAGACTAAACTGATAGCAGCAATGTGATTCACAAAGGTCAAAGGGCACTTGCAATCAATGCCCTAGTGAAGAATGGTGTACATCATTTTGGCAACACTGCAAAGATGCAGAGCCAACTTTGGATGAATTTCCTCCAAACGTACCGAGGCACTGATCGATGGTTTCTGCTCCGTAGCTGAGAGTTGTTTTCTCGCTAGGGCACGGTTGGCATGACGTCTGGCCAGGCAGCGATTGATACTGGCCAATAAGGCATTTGAAGCAGGGGACGAGGCCATTGGAGGAAAACCTTCCGGCTGGGCATTCCTCTGAAGGAAAACCAAGGAATGATGGTCCATATTAGTGTAACAGAAATATACCAGCCACAAGACTCACCCGCATCGATGAACTATTCCATCCCAATTTCATACAGGCATCTCAATCATGGTGCATGTTATTGACCACTGTCAATATTGAACATGGACCCAAATCCACCACAAGAGAGAGAAATTTTTTAAAGAGACTGGACCTTGAGAAACTATAGACCTCAAGAATTCAAAAAAGGTTTTAGGCGTGTATGCTGCATTGTTCAGCACTTACCTTCACAAGATGAGCTGTTTTTCGCCCCTTCATTGGCTGTTGTGGTTCCAGGGGGGCAGTCAATACATGACTCTGCAGCCTGCTGCTCCTGATAACTCCCTCTGGGGCAGTAATCACAATCTTCTGAGTCCTGATTGTACCATGTTCCAGAACTACACGCAGCTGTAAAGAAAAAACAGTAAGGGTATCAAAGACAACAGTCTAAGTTACCCCTTCACCAAAACTTTACCCCCAAAAAAGAGTTTAATTTTAAATAAGACAGGCTTTCGTTGTTTCTTTTACACTTCAGGAGGAAAAAATTGAATGCAAAGTAGTGAATGGACTTACTGCAGTAGAAACTATCATTGCTGAGGATGTAGCCTGGTTGACAGATCAGTTTAGAGTCGCCAAATGACATCATGTCTGTGTCAACTTCTAAGGTAATGTCAGGAATGCTTGAAATTGACAAGCTGCCATTCCCTATGGCTGTCATGAGATTATCGGCTTGTTCCTTCACTTTGGTTTCCGTGACAACCACCGCATCCTGGCTGTCCATCCCGTTTCATAGGGGACCTCATAACTCAGGTCGAAGCTGATGAAGATGCCAAAGTCGATGTCGGCGTCCCGTTTCTCCCGGTGAGTCCGCGTGGCATCCAGTCGTGCAAACAGTTTATCCCATGTTGCATCCTCATTGGTACGAAACTCCTCAGTCGTACCCGTCCCACGGCGATGTCGCTGAATACCAGGCCGGCGTCCGAGCTGCCGGCCGCCTGCCCCACAATGCACCTGCACATTCCCAATGTTGCATTCGTTGGTCAGCGAGCAGGCCTCCATGTAAGCGGAGCTCTCTATCATGGTGATGAAAGCAGCCGCTATTTGGTTCCGAGTGGATTGATCGCTGCAATCTCCGGAGAAGTACATAAGACTCATGGGAAGGTTTACATTACCCCTCCGTCCTATGAGGTTAGTTCAAGGAGACAAAAAAGTATATGACTAAATTTGTTGCCATAATATGTAAAAAAACTACTTAAAAGGACTTTAAGAGCGAGGTAACTTTATGGGCAAAGGATTTCCAGCTAGTAATTTTTAAGATTTGAAGGTCAATGTCAGATGTCTGACCATCACAGGCAGGAATGGATTACATGCAAAATAGCTCTGTACACTACTCACTAGAGCAATCTGGTACCAAGTCGTGCGGAAACCAGTTTCCAGACCTCAATCCACAGGCATATTGTTCTGGCGTGGGCCTGCCCCAACCCAGAGACCTTGAAAATTGGTATCCCTCATGGCAAAAGGCCGAGCAGATGAGACCAGAGGGTACGCAGGACAGTGCACCATTTATGGGGCTCAGCAGGTGGGAACAGCTGTTGGCTGTAAGGTGTTTGAGAAGTCAACAAAAATTAAACAAGTACAGAAAAGAAAACAAGAATGATAAGATATCTGGCATTTTTTCTGATTAATAATTGAGATAAAACAGAAAGAGGAATTATAAAAAGGCTAAAATCTTTTGTACAAATTTGCTGTCATAGTGGGAAAGATCTTTCTATCTGCTAGTTTTCAACATGAACATTTGTGAAAAAATAGGTATGGACAAGTGGACAAGAGATGATAATATCTTAGGCAACTCCTTTTTTTTACTCGGTATCAAAAAAGTTACAGTATGTGTTGCTTTGTGTTATATCGAGTTACAATGACACTCGTGTCACTCAGCCTCACTCATAGACTCGCGTTACTATCAATGGGTAATACTCATCACATTATATAGCCACTCATGTGCATTGTTACTCAGCATCAATCACTCCCATCACTCAACACATACAGCTCTGAACTACTCCATATTTCTCACACTAATTGTATGATTTAAGCTGTTACTCACCTGTAATGTTGATAGCAAACTGGCAAGTCGCCTTTTGTCCATTATCTGTGTTGATGGCTGTGTACACCACCATGGTTATACCCCAGCGGAGCTTTGCTGTGTTGCCGATGGCAATATTGTTAATGACCTCAAGGTCATGACCCAAAGGGTCATGGAAGATGGGCTCTTCCCAGGTGACATCAACGAGTCCTTCGTAGGCTGTAATTTCATATCCCTCTGGACAGAAAACAACCTCTGGCTCAAAGTCATCTGGGATGTGGTAAAATTAAGGAAACACGTGACTGGCTGTGTCCGCCACGGTGGGAACAAAAGTGAATAGGGAAAAAAATTGACAAGAGCAAGGGATGAACCCCAGCTATTCAAAATAAAATTGCAGTGTTTGAGTATGTTCTGTTTAGAAAGTCACATGTTTTTGCTACGCTGAACACACTGAGGCTGAATTAGTCAAGTGCCAGTAAAGGATTATGGAGGCAGAAGGTTCCAAGCCAACTTCATTTATTTTTTTCAGTGCAATGTACAATTTAATTTAAAAAAAACATATTTTTCCAAAAAATAATGTGTTAATCGACCATTTTGGGGTTAATTAACAGCGAAGCAGAAATTCTGTTAGTTCAACAAACTCACCCAAGACATCAACACTGAAAGTACAGGTGACCGTGTTGCCGCCCTCATCCGTAAATGCATAAGATACCTCAGTAGACTCAGTGAACACGTAAGGTGAGGTGATGTTGGCCGGCGATGTACCAAGAGTCAAGGTGCCAGACGGGTTGTTGTCGCGGGCGGTCGGGATGTCAAAGGTCACTGAGACTCCGTTGACACTGTCTCTGGTAGCATAAATCGGTAGAGGGCAGAAGGTCAGGACTGGAAAAATGCAATCTGTCAAAAAAAGGAACGGAGATGACAAATATATGAATGTATTGAGCACCATTTTGGGCCTTACAGTTTCAGGGGTAATCCTCTCAAGCAGTGAAACATATCAAAGAAAAATTGATGAGACATCAAGCAAACATCGAGCAAATATCAGTGAAATAAGAAGCAAGTAACAATGACATATCCAGCAAGTATTACTCAAATATCCAGCAAATATCACTGAAATATCAAGCAAGTGCCAAGCAATATCAAGTAAGTATAACCGAAGTATCAAGCAAGTATCAAGCAAATATCAATGAAATATCCAGCAATTAATACTGAAATATCAAGCCAATATAAATGAATATTAAAGCAAGGTTTCTTTTGGTAAACAGTGCTCCTTAGTAATGAACCTTGAGGACACAGCTTGAATTTGAGAAGTCCTAACCCTACATTCATTGATCAACAGGCTTATGGTGATAAGGATCTAACCTTTGCAATCTGTTGATAAGTTTTTGGTATCCACATCCCAAAGTCCTTGCTCTCCACAGGACACTTGCGACACATCCCCAACAAGACTGAGTCCATAGGGGCAGAAGAAAAGGCAGAGAGTATCAGCTCGTGGACTACCAGCCATGCAAATGGACGGAGTGACCTGCATGGATTCGGGTAATGACAGGGCGTCGCACGTGATCACTGTGAACAGAAGGAAATACCACTTAAGTCAGTTTGGAATAAGTTAGGATACTAATCCTTTAAGCTATAAAGAGAAAACAAAATCTGCCGTTCTGCGTCAAATAAAAAAATGCTTTCATTCTGCGGCCTGAGTGAAGTTTGAATCAGGGATAACTTTTCCATTTCCAATCTGCGCTGTGTTAGTGCTCACAAAGTCTTGTATGTGAAAATTAACGACTGTTCGACGTCTCTCGCCAAGTTGGATCTGTAAACAAAATGTCAATAACTTGTGGATTTTGCTTGATAACCAATGCACAAAAAATACTCTGGATAGCAAGTCATGTAAATGAAACCCAGAAATAAAAACGTGTCAAGACACTACAGACTTGTAAGATGGTGCCTAGAAGGATTCCCTGGCCTGACTTACATTCACAATGCGGTGTCTCCTCTCTCTGCCAGTACATAGAATCACCATTAAATTCACACGAAGCCTCACTGGAACCCACCAATCGGTAGCCGGCGATGCATCTCAGGTGACAGACACAGCCGTAGATGCGACAACAATCCCCCGCATACTCCCCATGGGAAGGGATCGGTAGGATGGGGCAAACTCGCTCTGATTAGGAAAACGACGTGGAATCTATTAGTGTACTACCATACGATGGTGGTCAGCCCATCTTTTAAGATGTAGGAAATCTAGTTTAGCTACAGTGATTTGATCAAAGATTATAGAAGGAAGTGACGGATATGAAAACTTTAAGGTTGTAATAAGAAATGATCAAACACACAAACAAAACAAAATCAACTTGCAGCAAACATTTGCTGATGTCAAGCGATAAACACTGCATGTGAAAGATTTACAAATGACTCACCAACTACTTCAACTTGGAAGGAACAGCTTGCGGAGTTGCGGGTCTCATCGACAGCCATGCAGGAGACCCCGTGTTGACCCAGGTTAAACTCTCCTGGCTCTGGGTCACAGGTCACGGCAGGCTGAGAGTCGCTGTTATCAGAGGCTGTAACCTGGAAGTCGACCTGGGCCACGGTGGAGCCTCTACCAGCATAGGCAGTCAGTGCAGATGGACAACTCAATACAGGACTGTCAATATCTACAATGTCAGTAAATATACAAATATTGCCTGGTTATGAGGGCACTAGTTGTATATGGACTATGTTATATTCACTCATGTATCAGAGTTCAAAAAAAAACACTATGGACAAGTGTAAGTCATTCAATACTGCCATTCCACACACTGATTTTTTTCAAACTGCAATTGAGGAAGGGATACAGTTGCAACCACATTTCAATGCATGACATTTAACCAATCTGCCCCCAAATCCCATAAATTCAAATTCTGTCCCCCAAAAAATAACATCTCAAATCTCACTTTCATCAAAGACTTCAAAGTCAGACCTGCCCATTTGCCAACACTCACCAACACACTCGATCCGCGATACGTTGGCCGACCACCTTCCGTTGCCCACACAGTGGACATTGGTACTGCCCACTGGCTCAATACGGAAACCAGCTTGGGAGCAGGAGAACATGCAGCTCTGGGGAAATACAGGCCGGCTGGAGCAAGATGACGGAGAAACGTTGATACCGGCGCCGGGTGTCAAGACTGGACACTCAATTTCTGTCACAGACAAACAGACACGTTATTGATTGAAAAGAAAAAGTAAACACTTTTTCAGCCTTTTAAGCATTATTTGAAGTTTTGCATGGTATTTGTGAAAGACAGTGCCTGAGGTAAGCGAGAAAACGATGTAGAAATAAACCAAAGTGTCTTATTTGAGAACAAGTTCGTCATTTTTGGAGAGTTTTGCCAAGAATGATTTACCATTGCAGACGAGATCAGTTCCGGACCAGGTGCCATCAGCCAGGCAACGAGACCTCCCGCCGTCGCTAGTCTGAGCCTCGTAACCATTCTCACAGTAGAAGGAGCACTCAGTGCCATAAGGTTCAGAAGGGAAGCTGCAACCAGACTTGATGGAGTGGGGCGGGGCTGTCTGGGCAGGGCATCTTACAACTAGAAAAAAAAAGAGATCAACATGGATAGTAGGAAAGAGAAAGTGTGGATTGAACAGAACATTTGAAGGGGAAGCTACAGTCCTTAATACAAACTCCCAAACTCATTCTCTCAAATTTGGTGGATTTTGAAGGATTCAAGAGGGTCACAGCTAGTTCATACATCAGATCAACTATTCACGTAAATGTTTCAAGTCAGCAAATTTCGCTGCAAATGTTTTCAGACGTACTTCAAATTTTCCCCAAAGAATGAACTGGTCTTTAGGGTTGAATAATACATAAGCCAATGAAACCAGTAGCTGAGACAGAGACTGGGGACCAAAGGACGGCTGGTTTCAATCCGAAAATTACTCAGCTGTGGAAATTAAAAAAAAAGGGGGGGAGGACCCGCTGGACACCATATGACACTAAGGGGCGCTGTTCATGTACACTTAAATCTCTTATTTAATTAAGCTTACATCAAAAACAAGTAAAGCTTTTGTACTTATAGGCCTTCTTCAGTACTGTTGAATATTACACATTTTGGTACTTAGGAAGTTAAAAAAAGAACTCAAAAGTATGAAAAACTGGAGGGGCTGATCCAACAGCACATCTCCCTGTCAAATGAACCAAATATAGCTCTATTTAATGACGAAGACGTTGGGATTACATACTGGTGCACACAGTGGTCTCTCCATCCCAGTAGGGCATGTCATCACTGGTCAACTGACAAGTCCTCTGTCGTGAACCGCTCAGTGTGTAACCGATGTTACACCTTAAGGTGCATTCGGTGCCGGCGATGAAGCCAGGGTGGTTGCATTGGATGGAGCAAGAACTGGGAGCTTGGAGTCTCTCACAACGATGCACTGGGGGAGGAGGGAAGGTACAAGGAGGATGGCGACAAGAGAGGTATAAAGAGTGACAAATAGGGTGAGAGATGGGGTGATAATGGCCCCTGTAAAACATCAACAGAAAAATCAAGGTAACTGACTAGTTCCTGCCCTCCTCCTTCCAAAATTTATTGTACGCATAAAAGTCAGTGGGACCAGCCTATCTTAGTTCACTTTTGTTTCACAAGTCACATATTGTTAACAATGACAAACAAACCTGTGAAATAAGTGAAAAGCAAACATGAACGTGCCCAGTAATCACTATGGTTCCCTTGAGAATGTTTGACCACAATTACTCAAAACATAAGCAGAAACCAATATTGTTCAAAAAAAAAAAGGACAGCTGCTTTTTTTTTTTAACCACCTTGGAGACACATGATATATTATCCAGAATCAGGTCAGATGGATAGGCATGGCAAGTATGAGACAGGGACAGACACATCAGGGTATACACATAGTGACGCATAGATGACAGTAAACTGCATCTCACCCTCAACGTTGACGATGATGTCACATTGTTCAGAAAGCCCCACCGGGTCTGAGGCAAAGTAAGTGATAGTGGTCTGACCTTCAGGGAAGAGGCTTCCTGGAGCTAGGTGGCCTGCTTCCCTTTGACAAGACAAATCAGATATCATCTTAAAAGCTCACATTGAGAGCAACATTCTCTGAGGGGCCTTGTCACCCCAAGACAGCTGCGTTTGAGATCTTCCAACATTCTAACGATTGTAATACTTTCAATGCATAATTTTCCACTTTCCCTTTTGGTGATATGTCTGTTTATAGTGATAACACAACCAACAGCTGATTTTCAACTATGAAAATAAAAGAACAAACAGCCCTCTCTTTTGCAAACAGCTTGTTACTTTTACACCAAATCCGCTTTAACCACCAACCTTGTGACTGTGACATTGCCAGAATTGTCGGTGGCAGTCGGTGGGTCAAAGGTCACTCTCTTTGAGGTCGTCCCAAACTCACTGCTGACGTTCACGTGCTGCGGACAGGCCACATTGAATCTTGGCCTCTGCTCGTCTGCAATTTTTTGTCAAAGGTTATCATTTATTTCCTATGCAAGTGAAGTGACCGTATCAAAGATGTCCTCCAGTTAAACACTGTACAGCCCTCTGCTGGTTTTTTTTACCATGGTAACAGGCAAAATTCCACAGGTTGGATTATAATGCAAAGTAATGAAAAAGCAGTATATCTGTGCATGAGGTCAATGTATTTGAGTTGTTCAAGCAATATGATATCGAAAGGCGGACAGTACTGTTCCGTTCAATAGAAACAATCCACAATACCATTGACAGCAACATTCATTGAACTCAAAATAGATTGTCACCAATATCTCTTTTACATAGTGACATTGCAGGACTCCCAGCATGCTTTGCTGTCTACATCTTAACTTCTCGTCACTATCTAGGTCTCCGAGATCATTCAGAAACCTTCCTCTGTCAACATTCATCAATTTTGGGTGCTGCCATGTCTGCCATTTTCAACGGACTGTAGTTGTTAATGCACTGCAGACACTCACCAATGCAGACCGCATTTTCACGGCTGTCCCAGGACCCGTTGTCAGCGCACGTCTTGCTGTTGGGTCCCTCCTGTCTGAAACCGTCGTCACACGAGAAGCTGCACACCGTGTTGTACGGTTGCGTCCCGGGCTGAGCACAGAGGGCGGGCTGCACCAATCCATTGGGAACAGGAGGAAGGCCTGGGCACATGATTATCACTACAGAAACAAGACAAGAAATCGTATAAAACTATCTTCACCCATCATGGGGCATCATTTTTCAAACTATTTTTTTTTTACATCAAATCGATGTATCAAGTTCTGCAGAAGGTTTACTTTGGGTCAAATCTTTTATTCAATTTTAAACCTACATACCACATTCTGATAACAATTTATCATGAGATGAAACTTTACAGTTTGAAATGTGTGACTGTGCTAGATTTATCAATTCCTTGTCAATTCTTGCAAAGTAATTAAACAGCGATATTGGTAACCTTCTTGATTTGAAATGCTTCACCTGTGCATTGGAAGTCAGGTCCACTCCATGATCCATCCGCTTGGCACTGGCGGTTGCGGTTACTCTCTCCGCTGGCTGTCCTGTGACCCAGGTCACAGTAAAATTGGCAGGTGTCCCCGTAGGTGGCAGTGTTGCCATGGCAACCGCTGATGTAACCATCAGTAACAGTTGGGTATCTACAGGTGTTGACTGGGATTGAAGAACAAGAAAATCAATTGTTCCGATTCAAAAGAAATAAATTGAGCAAGTTCGATGCCATGCCTTATAGGAAGTCACTCAAACTTTGATCTCTTGTAAGTAATTACTAACTCTTTGCTGTGATTTGAAATGCGCCAAACTGGACAAATCGTAGAACCAAATTCTGCAGCTCACCCACGCAAGTTGGCTGAGAACCGGTCCAGTATCCTTGGGTGCTGTCTGCGGCCACACGTAGGCACTTTCTCCTCAGAGTAACGCCCCCTGTTGACAGTGTGTAGCCAGTCCTGCAGCTGATGTCGCACTGGGAGCCGTACACGACACGATGGGAGCACGTGCCCTGGCCAGATGTGAGACGCAGTATGCCATTGGTCGGAAGTGGAAGTCCTGAGCATCGGGTCACTACAGAAAAAAACGCATGCACATGTTTTTGTCATCAGAAAAGAACGCTGTTGACAATGTACAGCAACTGTCAAACTGAACGTAGGTTTCCATGGTTCCTTGACCCTTACTTCAATTGATACAGCAAGTTAATGCTGACATACCTTTATGGACCACTCTCATTATACCAACTAGTCATACGGGTGGTCAAATACCAACCTTGGCTAGTTTCAGATTTCACCTGAGAGTGTGCATTTGCCGTATCACTTAGAAAGATGCCTGTCTTTTTATTCAGACCGTAGTAGTGTTTATTATTCAGTGTTTTTGTGGCTACATAAAAATGAGCAAATACTTGTTTTGTGTTTGTTCCAACAGCCATTTGACCAATCACTGATAGTCCAACAACGTGACTGTGACGTAGGAGGGGTAACTGGCCCAATAGAACGTTGTCTACTGTCTACAGAGTTTGGACCTTTGGAAGGAAGAGCCAACCCTATATAACTCTGTCTACTGTAGAGTTCAGACCTTTGGTCTCTAGTTGCATAGAGCAGGAACCCGAGTTGCCAGCGTTGTCGGTCGCCGCGTAGACCAGTGAGTAGGTCCCTTCTTCCAAGGTACTTGGCTTAGGGCCGGTGACAGGTACGGTGTTGATGGACAGCAGCACGGCGGTGATCTCACGGCCAGCATCCGTGCCCTGTATTAAAGCGATGTGAAACTTGCAGATTGTCATCTTGTTAAAGACTTCTACCAGTTTAAATAAAGCTTTTAAGGCAGTAGGTCTAAGACAAAGGTAGCAGTTATTGACATACGCACAAACAACCATTGATTTTAATTCTAATCTTTTTAAATGTCTAAAATGAATATACTCATACTGAATATGGATCAGTCTAAACAAATTGAAATGTATTCCAAGTTTTTTACAGATTTGAAAGAAAGCATGGACAAACTTACAATGTTTCTCTTCACTTTGCATCGTGAACTCAATTCAAGATAGCTCAATGATTCCAACCAAACCATCTTTTTTAAATACCACTTAATGTAAGGAATAAAATGTTCTGTTTATTTGGGGTGGGGGGGATAAATTCCTACCGTGACTGGCTCCCAGTCCCAAGGGACTGAAACTATTCCGTGCCCTTCTCTGGCAAACACGACTTGATCTGAAGGGCACTCCAGCACTGGATCCGTGACGTCTGTGTGTTTAAACAACAAAGGATCTGTGACTATTTTGGCTCAGCACTTTCAGTCTACGGAAAATAATGCAGGAATCTGAAGCCATTTTGAAAATTCAGGAAATATCCACACCCCTGTTGGGACAGAAATTAAAGTAATTTAAAGACGGAGACACCAGAAATTTTCAAACCAAGGAAAACACAAGACAAATATTAACACAGCCTTAATTTTGAATTCTTTCCCCAGATTGTTCCTTGACTTGAACACTGAATGCACATCAAGTCACCTTTTAAGTAACAGAGGTTGGACTGTCCTCCCTCAATCCTGCTAAATTCTCTTAAAATCTCCTTGTGAATTGTGAGCAATCAAGATGCAGTAGGGGTTTAACGATGCAACTGAAGGAAAAAGACTAACATAGTCTCAGAAATAATTACCCTGACAAACGGTTGCGGTTCCATCCCATCCCCGTGACACGAGGCAGGTTCGACTGGCCGAGCCTGATAGAGTGTAACCAACGTTACAAGCTGTGTTGCACACTGTATCGAAGGGTTGCCGTGACGACACAGGTCTGTTGCTTCCGTTGCGTTGGCAGGTGGACACGGTGCCATGGGCAGGTCTTGACAGAGACGGACAAGTCACAACTGTGAAGGACAAACAAGATTACGTACTGTAGAAGACAAATGGTCAAAATTGGCAGGTAGCCAGAACTTACAGGTAGCCTGGATTAACAGGCAGAAACTGTTAGCAGGTGTGGACTGCCCAGAGTAGGCAAGCGCTAAAATTAGTCATGATTAAATTCTAAGTTTAATTGTTGACCGATTTCCTGAGATTTTGTTGCAAGTTTCTAAGAAAAAAGCTAATTATTTTCCATATTTTCCTGGTGACATTACAACAGAGAATGCTGACTTCATCCTCATTTTAGAATGTCTTACTTCGAGTTTCCCACCTCCAAGCTGGACAAAACTGTGTACAGTGTCAATTGAATTTGTTAAGGAAAACATGAGAAGTGAAAAAAATTTGGGGAATCGACCGATTTCAGGAAGAACTGCAAGCTGGCAAAAACTGAAATGAGAAATTCCTAGCCCATGCGTGATGTAAATAACGTGCAATTTGTAACACACACTAGCAGTCAGGTTACACTGATGTCAACAAAAACCATTCACTGTTTCATTAACATACTGGTGCATGTGATGGTTCCACCGGACCACACCCCGTAATCGTTACTGTTGCTCTGACACCTTCGGTATGCCGTTGATGTTGGCGTGTAACCACGGTTACATGACAGTCTACAGGTGGTGCCGTAAGGGACCTGGTCTCCGGTGCAGCCGCTCTTCACTCCATTTACTGGTGCAGGCAGGTCACTATGTGCACAGGTGATCACTGAAACAGTAACACACACCTGGAATGAGACTATGGTCTCATATTTTGACAGACAGTCTTTCAACTTTTAAAGTTACATACAAAGAGTACATTAACAAAATGACTCATAGCTTCCAAACCACTTTTCACATTTGCCAGTGTTTGAAGCTTAAATGTAGCTTGGAAAAGTGCAGTGAAGAAGTAGATTGGTCAAGCAATTTTGTTTTTCTTACGCTGAGCAAGCTCAACAAAAAATTGTCAGAAGACCCACCTTCACATTGTGGTAGGGTCTGAAGCCACTGACCATCAGGCCCACAAGTTATAGTCCGTGTACCAGTCAACCTGAAGCCTTCAGAGCATGCGTAAGTACACGTGGTACCATAGGACACTACTTTACCGGCTGAACAGGTGCCACTGTTGGTTGGGGACAGTCCTTCACCTGGAGTTAGGGTGTTACACCTGTTGACTGGCAGAAACAATGTAACAAGGTAAAGACATGAGAAAAAAAGTTACTTAAATTCAATTTCAGAGAAGGACCCTGAGCGAGAAATTAAATTTTGCTCTTGCAACAGATTTTTATTTTCGAATATGTGAAATTCCGTTTCTGTCCAAAACAGATATATTCATTTATACCTTACTAGGTAAAGAGAAGCAATTATGATAAACTGCCTTGCCCAAGGACACTTGAGACCCATGATTCCTGGCTGGATTTAAACCCACGTCATAGGGTACAAGCCCCAAACAGTATCCTGTCAGCATTCCTGCCATCCGTAAATCTAATAACACCCAGGAACCATAGACATTCGACTCTTTGATTTATGAGAGAACAATCATATTTATAAAGACTTGAAGAACCAGCAGTTATCACCACGACAGGGAGCGTAAAAGTTTCCAAAATCAATCTTACTTTGGCATCCCGTGGTTGAGCCTGACCAGGACACGCCAGTCTGGCCTGGCAGGACCGTGCACCGTCTGTCGGCACTGCCGGTGATGCTGTAACCTGTGTCACAAACAAAGTGGCACCACGTCCCGTAGGCATTGCCGCACCTCGAGGAATCCCTGAAACGGCCATGTGCGGGGGCAGTCAGAGAAGTGCATCGCAGAACTACCATAACGACGAAGTAAAGAACAGTAATTGATATGACAAGTACAAATTAAGCTTAACTACTGCCAGTGAAGAGATGCCTTCCTGAACAATGCTTAGCCAAACTGAATCAGGTTTAATCACTGGTCGATTTTGCCTGGTGCCCTGGACATGTTTTTTTTGCATAGGTTTACCAAGGGAAATTGACCACTGAACACAAAATAATCACTGAATGAACTTGGCCCAGATTGTTCAGCTGCCCAGAAAAATCATCCTGTAACCCTTTGTGTTACAGCTGGGAATACAGCTCCACATGCAGCGGTCAAAGGTGCAAAGGTCATATGCAAAGCACAGGTGGATGATCCAAGGAAAGCTCAGACTAAACATTCGTAAGTTAATTAGTTCTGATCCTAAGTCATTTCTGGATCGCTGTTATAGTTCCCTAGCCAGTGGCTTATCTTTCGGTGCAAGTCACGGTACTTTCTGCTGTTGTCAAGTACGTAATACGGATATAACTTTGACTTACTTGCACAGCTCGGCTGAGGTGAGGTCCATGACCCACTGGACTGACAGGTGGAGCGTTCTGACCCGACCAATCGGAATCCTATGTCACAGCTGAACGTACATGTTGCCCCCTTGATATGCCCGTTGGGGCAATTAACCTGAAGATTGTGACCGCTCTGAGGTGCTGGTGTACACATTACCACTGTAGAATATGATAAATGTCTAACAGCGTCACCAACGAAAGAGAGGTGTTACTTGCATTTTATCCTAGGTGCCTACTGACTGAAAAAATGAGTTCACATTTAACTTATGCAAATGTGGTTTTGATTCGGTTAATGCGGGAATGTAAGATTGAAGCCTTCTGATATTAATGCTGCTGTCTCGGTCGTAAAAACACTTTCAAAGCCTTGCAGATGAACAGGATGATTTCTCCGAGGAGATGACTACTGTTTATGTTGGCTGTACATGCACAGATCAAGTGCACTTGTCTATAGTATTTGGGCAATAATACAGGAAGATTTCAAAGAGAAAATAAACATCTGTTGACATTACATATGACCCAGGAATGCTGGAGAATAGTGGAAATTGTGGGGAGGGCAAAAAGTACGAGCACAAGCACACTTCTCTAAAATCTAGTCCCCTTTGCATCTTGTCCCCTCTGAAGCCAGGATTTCACTGTTTATCTTTATGCCGGGAAGGCGACATTATCGGCTCAATCAATGAGTACTGCACACAGGTGTCCGGTCCACCGTTTTGGAAAGTATCAGCCAGATTGATCGATGTTGATCACTAGGCTTGGACGGTATTTCAGTATTACCGAATAGTAGTGGTATTTTTCAATACAGAAAAGTACCAGCTGGTAATCCAGAAGTACCAGCAAATACAGTATGGCATTTCAATTCTGTATTTGGGCAGTTAATAGTAACAGAATCCCCTGGTTGTCAATACAGTTTCTGATGTACACGAGATGTTCAAAACCCTGGTATCATCTAGGTGAAAACGCGAGTTTTAGGCAGCTGAATTTGGATATTCATGTAAATGAGAATTCAGGGTGCCAACAAACCTCGAACAGTTACAGAGAAGGAGCAGTCTCGTGTGTTGCCTTGAGCATCTCTGGCCCTGTAGCGTATGATGTGAGACCCTTGACTGAAGCGGCTACCACTGGCGAGGCCTTGAGTCCGGGTGAGCGTCAGTCCAGTCCGCACGTTGTCGGCAGCAGTCACAACCCAAGTGACCACGGCACTGGTTCGTCCATCCTCGGCCTCGGCAGACACGGAGCTAGGGCAGGAGATGCTGGGCGCCTGGGTATCTAATGAACAGGATGTCATGAAACAGCAGTAACAAGGTGACCAAGCAGAGACGTATCAACTGAACAAACCTGATTTCACAGCACTAGGCTTGTCATCCAAAATGCCTCTGAGATAAACTTAAGAGACCCAGTAATCAAACCCACTCCAGAAGGATAGGTAAAAAAATGTGATCATATTTTGCTAATGTAATCTATCAGGAAAGTTCTAGGGACTAGTCAGTTTGTCAAGCCAGATCAATGCTTTATCTTTCCCTCAAGAAACCCTGGCAACATCCAATAACAGACTTTCAATGTCCTTGTGAATGGTTATTCAGTGACGATAAAATCAAGTGCTGTATAATCCATCCTTTGCATCAAAAGCTTACACAACTGAGTTACCGGTACACACTCTCACCTCTACAAGTCGGGGAGGTGCCCAACCACGTGCTCCCGCAAGTTCTTGTGTAGGTGCTCCCCCCGGATGACAATCCAAAGCCCGAGTTGCAACGGAATGTGCACACACTGTTCCACCGGTTGCCGTTGGTGCAGGTGATTTGTCCATTGGCGAGGCTAGTCAATGCTGGACTGCAGGTTTTCACTACAGTTCAGCCAGAAAAAAAAAAGGTCTGAATGCGTTATCATGCTGGGAAATATTTGTACCATATTCCGTCGAAATGTCAAGCGGTGAGGTACTGACCTGGGGATCTCAGTAAAAAGCTGACCTGGGGAGTTTGCACAACGTTGCAGAAGAACTAAATTGGATCTCAAATTCAACCATATTGAAAGTGCTTAGGAGTTGTTAAAACTGGACCCTAGAACGCAGACCTGGGAATGGCGTTTTGGTGCTAACCTGGGAACTCGGAGCCCTGGAAGTTTCCATGACCTGGAAAGTCCAGTGACTTGCTGTCCAGGAAATTACAAGGAGACCTGAGTCTACAGTAGAATCGCTACGACATGCTGTCCTGGACCTCTAAATGACCTCTTGACCTGGGAAGATGCTGACCTTGGAGTCTCAGAGATTTGCTCAACGATACTGTCAAGGTGATTTTGTCTGAAAAATTACTTTAATGAATTTATAAATAAATTTCCCGTCACCTTGACAAGTTGGGAACCCCCTATTCCAGACGTCATTAGTCCGACATGTGACTGAGGAGTATCCAACCAGATTGTAGCCAGTCGAGCAGCCGAATGTACAGGACGAGCCAGCAATGTTGGACTTAGTGCAGGTGTGAGTCCGATGACTGCTTGATCTAACACGCGGACAACGAGGCACTACAAGGAAACAAAAATTGTCATTAAATATGTAAAATCACATTGAAATTGGAGGATTTGGGACTGTTAGGGTGACACCTTAGACCTTCAATTCATGGAATCTTGAGAAGTAGTAACGAAAACTGTTTCTACTGAACAGGGCCTAAAAGTAATCCAAAAAATTAAAGCCAGTCATGTCTGTCAGTGCATCCACCAGCCCATCCATCCCTTCCTCCATGGCTTGCCTGTCCATCCAGTCAGTACGTCAGCTGATGGTCAGGTGACTCACTGGTTGGTTGGTCGGTTGGTCAGTCAGTCAGCCAGGCAGGCAAGCAAGCAAGACGAGTGAACAAAGGAAGAGGTCCATACAATCCACACTGCAGTTCTGGAGGACTGACCAACAAGGTCCAATACAATTTTCATTGGAGGATCATCCGATTAGGGTGTGATCATCCTAACTAACACTGAAACTAATCAATGCTGCGGATTGCTAACACACGTAAAGTTGGTTTGGGAAACCGTAGATTGATATTAATTGGAAAGGCACTTACCATTGATGGTTATCTTTATGTAACAGTAGTTGGTGTTCCCAGCTCCATCCCTAGCCCTGTACGTCACAGTGGTCACTCCTTCATAAAACCGACTTCCAGAGCCTGGCCCACGTATGCGACTAAACAGACCAAAAAAACCGGGGTCCATGAATATGGTGAGGAATCAAGCGGAGTGTGTTGCTAAGCCTGGGGGCCGGTAGGCTAGTAAGTTGTATGGTGGCAAACCTCGGGGGGGGGGGGGGGGGTCTAGACACCCAAGAGATTTGAACAAGGGACGATACAATAACATAGGCGTAAATCCTGGGTGAGGGTAGTGGGATTTTGAATCATCCCCTACCACTTCTTTGTGATAAGCAAAAAAAGTTAAAGCGGATTGTGAAAGATTTTCAGGAATTCCCAATGACTATATTGTTTGCAATATAAAAAAATTAAAAGAGGGAAAGTTTAAAAGGCTATAGGCCCTATACATGCCATTTTGTGCTCGAACTCATCCCTAAACTCTACAAATTGTACTAGGTTAACTTGATCCCAGTTGCGCAGTACCCAAAAGAAATTGGGATTTTTTTGATACTAATTTTTTGATACTAACCTTTGACCAAAAATTTCACATAGTGTAAGGCACCCGTAGCAAGTCACGCAGTATTTTTATCGACTCTAAATCAAGTATTCATGGATGCTTCTTGGCTCTTGGCAGCACTCGTAGTTTCACTGATGTACATTCTTTTTTTTAACTAACAATGCAAATTTCCATAATGTTTTGGCCCACTCGAATGTACTCAATTATTTTTGTAATCATACTCGGCCTGTTCTCAGACTCTGAAAAACTCGAACTCAGATTTTGAGTCCAGCAGGACTCGATTAAAAAGTAGGCCTTTTTGGACTCGGCCGTACTTTGAACAATGTGTACTCGGAAAACTCGATACTCGAGTTTTGGTACTCGTCTACATTACTTAGGCAGCTTGATCGACCATCATTTAGGCCCATTTGTGGGGCAACTTCTACTCCAAGGTCACAAACACGACTGTGCCACTGTCATTCCTGGGCGGTACCAACATCAGCATGCGCGACATGTCGACACGCGGCTAGTACGAGTACTTCTACATCAAATTCAGTTGCTTGCCTTGAAGAAGGTACTCAGTTACCGAAAGCACGGCAATTACATATTTCAGAGCACTGATTTGATATTATATTCTTGTCAATATTCTGATCACGGTGCTAAGCAGCCCTTTCAATCTTCGACATCAAAGTCTGCTTCTGAGTTCTATATAGTGGCTAGGCAGGGGGGCGCACTTCTCTTGGATTTTCTGATGCGGGGAACCAGGCAACTTCAGCGAAGGTCACCGTGACCACATAGACGGGGGGGGGAGAGTTCCTCGTCTTCTTATATAAACCTGTTGGAGAAATTGGTCTAAGGTCTCCTCAGGCTGGAGCCAGAGCGCGCGTACGCCGGTCGGCGACAAGCTAAAGCTGACCTATGATGACCACCTTGACAGTTGTCATACAGCGAATAGTTGGCCAAGAATTTACGAACTGGAGATGAGTGCAACTCTCACTCCAGTCATCACGTTTGTGCCCGGTTGGCGGGCTTTGAATCCACAGTCAGAAATCATCGTTGGTAATTCTTTGACGCGATATCTGTACTTCTGATTTTTAAATGACTCGATATACTTGAAATTGAACATGCAAGAAAACTGCTATTTATTAATTCAGACTCAAATAACTTCTTGTACCGGTAAATTTTTCTATATCTCAGATTTACATTTGCTATATCTGATTATTGATTTCTACTGCTCATCGGTCTATCTGCCTAGCATCCCTTCCCACTTCTGCTAATACCTGTGAAATGTTTTTATTTAAGTCCTTCGGTCTTTATTCATTTAACAAACGATTAAGGACTTGACAAGCTTCAGTTTACCTAGTTCACAGGGTGCACGTCTGCACCGATCTTGTTCATTCCTTTCCGAGGAAATAAAAAGCCGAAATATAGAAACCAGTGCAACTGAAGAAGTTGAATAAAAGCTATGCATCAGAGATAAGCTTGCACTTTACTTCAACTACAATTATGATAAATGATAACTAGTCTGTGCATTAAAAAAGTAGGCCTATTTATAACTAAATTTAGTTTACACTTTGTAACAGAAAAGTCATTCGTGTGTCACAGTAAAAGATAAATCGGTCTCTGTCAATTTTCTTTTCATATAATGTACAATCGTTGTGTATCATTAATGGTGCACTTCTCTGGCTTAATTTTTTATTTTATTTTATTTTTTTGAGTGTGGCAGGTTCGAATAAGGAAAAGAACTCTGTATTCAGTTGTCCGTCTGCTTTTGAAGGTAGCGGAGTTTGTTCTTACCTCAAAGAGGCCGATCCCCGGTCATCAGATGCCTTTGGCGTGCTGTAGTACACCGCCCGACCACCGTCCGCTGCGGTGGTGGTGAAGGTGTAGGGACCCGGACAGGAGGAAAAAGTTGGCGCAGTGGTGTCTGGTGGACGGCGAAAAACAAACAAATCATTTGAAGGACTAGCTGGTACGGTAATTCGACAAAACGAATGAGGCAAGGAGTCAGCTGACTCGGAGGGAAAGACGCCTTATGGCTTGGGTTTGTGACAGTCACAGGGTTGGGGATTTGAATCCAGAAATTGCATCATTTTGAGCTCGGGCGCTATACCCTATGCCTCTCTCCACCCGAGGATGGGCACTAATTGATGGGGTATGTATCGGCGAATTTGCGCAGACTATCGGCTGTCCAAATTAGTTTTGTCGACTAACGAGCACAATCTATAACAGCCGCACCCGAAAACCAGGCAATGTCGCTGTGTGTGTCGCTCGGACTCAGTGTACAGTAAGTGCAAAATATCTCGGCTGAGAAAATGCACTCGCAAAAATTATCACAAACATGACAAGAATCGCATTGGGAAACGGAAGCCTGAACCATCCAGCAGTCATTATTCCTCAGTCAAACTAAATGTGATATCGGGAGAAATGACTTTCGCGATGATGAAAGTGGACGAGGCATCACGAGACCTCATGACAAGGCGTGTTCACCTGGTGGGGGTGGGGAACGCCGGCGTCTGCGCCTCCACCACCAGCTCTCTGAGGGAAGAAAATACAAGATACAAAGACGTTGATCTCAGCTTTAGCACAGAGCAAAGTTGCAGCAAGGTTTCCAAAATCTTCTCAGTGTTCACCTTTTCCAAATAGGGCCTGACGTGGGGAAAACATGTGAATTCTAGACCAACTTTATTCACTACACTGTCTTTACACAAAACCCACAGAAAAGAGTTAGGGTCACACACGCTCCGAACTGCTTAAACTACGACCCCTTCCACCCGTTAAACGACGAGAAAAATGGGGGGAAAGGGTCATCGGTAAGATGTACGACGAGTTTGGAGGCGCAGTCAGTTTCCAAACACATTAATGAGCTAACAGGGACTCCCTGGAAGAATCTTAGGCCACGTGATTATACCCTATGACAACTCCACTTTGTAAAGGTATCTGTGCTGTATAAGAAATTCTAAGTCTACGCAAATTAATGTTTAGGCCTGGACACCAAATTCTAAAAGTTCATTTACCCGCAGGAGCTATCAGAAGATTAAGGAGAATCAAGGAAACGACAACCGAAGTCTTGAAATGCATCTCCCCCTCCAAGAAGTGAAACAACAGACGACTGTTCGAGTTTTGTAGCAGTTGACATAGGGAGCGAAGCACGACAAGTTGCCTCTTCCACTGTAACCCGCAGAGTATAGGCCCTTGCCTACCTCGAAAGTCTTTTCAACGTCCCTTATCAGCTGCATGATCACATTCAATGCACTTGTATGTGCCACCCCCCCCCATATAACATTAGTCCTACCCACAGGATGTGTGATTGACTGATTAATGATCTATATTGTCATTGGAGAACTCAAAAAGTACAAGGGTACAGATAAAGATTATAACTGGCACATTTTCCTGTATGCATCATTACCTAAACCACTGCTCCCCCGAGTTGGCAAAAAGGTTACAACAGGACGTCCCTTTGGACTAGTCGGGGAATCCCCCTGCCAGCCAGAGGATTTCCCCTGGTGAGACCCCACCTTCCGGTTATTGACAGATTTAACGTCTGCTGTACATTTGTTTATTCAGGCATAATTAAAAAGTGCAAACGCCGATTAAATGTAATCAACTGACTGAGAGAATCACGATTTTTTTATTTATGAACGCACAACAAGATTTGCCTGCCGGACTTCGTCAAAATGTGACGTAAGACGTCCCTATAGGACTCTGCTGGGGTTCGTCAGAGCGCTTTATTGCTCATTTCTACCACATCTCGTTGCCCCAAACCAACAAATTTATTAAGAGCAGAATGAGCAAGGAATGAGCAAATGAGGAACAAAAGACGGAATGAACAAGAGCAAGTGAGTAGTTATATCAAACTGTTTTACTAGCCCGTAACTATAGGGGGTGCATGGGGGTGCGTCCGCACCCCCGCGAGACTACAAGGTTTGCTTTTGAAGTGAGAACAGATTTTGAGCTTTAACATTTTGGGCACAAAAGCTGCGTTTCGGTGTTTTTCGCTTCGGCCAATCCCCTCTTCAGGAGTTTACTTAACCCCTCCCTCGAAAAGTCCTAGTTAAGGGCCTGATTTCACCAGGTTCTTGTCATCTCACGATCGTTCTTCCAAGATTCGACAGAATGTCACTGCAGTCAAACGTCTTGATTGCTTGTCACCGTTGTAAGAAAAGCTTCGGACGAAGAGACACATACTTCACGAAGTCATCCAGAAAATGTACATGCAGAAGGACAAACTAAATTGAAAGCTTTTGACGTTGATCTTGAAGCTAGTTAATCAAAATATTCTGATGTGAATAATTCTGAACACGCTTTGGAAACACGTCAATTGAAGAATCGCAAATACAAATCACAGGAACTGAGACTACATGCAAGATTAAAAGAATACAAAACGGAGATGACGAATTGTCAGAAAAGATGAGTCTGACTTTGATTTAGAAGACAAAGTTGCGTAGCTAGAGTGGTTGAAAGAGGCCACAGAGGCCAACGAAGAAAATGGAGTAAAAAAAAAAGTCAAAAGTACCTCCACTGGGATTTGTATGAAATCAAATCAAGGAAAACTGGAAGAACCTCTGGGCAGTCAAGACAAACCGTTTTTCAACATGTAAAATGATTTTCTTTGCTACAATACCTACATCTGTAGCACTGTATCGACTTTTGTCTGGCACAAATATCTGCGCTGCATCTAGGCATTTTGTTCTACAAAAATAGCCTATAATAGTTGAATGGTTTCTTGTGCTCATTCAAGAATAGTAATTTCCAAATGCAAGAGTCAGCGACATGCAAGTTTTATCCGCAGTTATGTACATGCGTGAATAATTTCCTTGTTCAATATTTCCCACATGTGTTTTCTTCACGGTACGCAAGGTTGTGTGGTGACTTTCACAGTCATCTATTTCTGCCGAGTTGAGGAAAAACAACCGTCCGAGAAGGCAAAGCGCCAAATGGAAGGGATGCCTCCAGTCGACTCCTGGCCGTGGGTGGTGGGGTGGCTGGTAACCTGGAAGCACGTTTTCAGGATATCCTTGCATTCATTGGAGTCAGGGTCAGCTGGCTGTGGGATGAGGAAATAGCAAGTTTACCACAGAGAATATCCACTGAACAAATATTAGTCTATTAAATAGTCATTTAGTCATTTGAGAACATTAAATTTGTATGCATAACGTTTTAACACATTCGATTCTTATCAAACTTGCTACTTTATACTCATGCCTGCAAATTCGAAAGCCTTTCCCTTGCTGCAGCCTTAATTTTTGACAATTTGCCGATTTTCTGTTTTTGTAACGTCATTAGAACTTTGTCCTTTTATACGGTTGGATATAATTTTGCTTGATTGAAAGTTAAATAAAACACTCAAAGCCGCCCAAAAATGTGTAAGAGGATTTACGCCCCTGGGAACAAGGCAAAAATCTGGGCGTTTGCTCCTGGTACATTGTGACAATGAGGGGACAATGTGTGTGTGGGCAGATGACACCTTGTAACGTATTTGTGATGTGCTCACAATTAGAAAAAAGTCTTGATTCCACCCTTCAAATTGGAGATAGTGGCGCTGTGGCAACGCATGTGGACAGTTTATTAGTGCATGGGGTTGCTGGCCAGTAAATCAGCCAAAACCTACTCGCGCTATGCAGTCAAATTCTCCACGAAATGTGGTCCGTGAAATTAAAATATTTTTAGCGAAGACAGGTTTAGGTGAGCAAAACGAATGCCAGCTTGTGTCTGGGTGAGATTTGGAAGAAATCGGTGGCCGAAAACGGTCTATTTTTCGAGAAGTGTAAGCATCGAAATTTCATAATGGCAGGGGCTTCTAATCACCACTGTTTCTTAGGAGTGACCTTCCGTGGAAAAAAAATATCTTCAAAAGTCATAGGTTAATGAAAAACCATAAAATGGGCTTTAATTTGATGTGCGTCTCGAACGCCAGAGAAGCTCCTCCCCCCTCTTATTTGTTGAAGTTCAGTTATTTACAAAGATCCTTAAGCGTGAAGCAGCGCAATCTATGGGCAGTCGTAATACGCCCTCTCGCGGCGGTACGTGGGCTCGTAACCCAAACAAGAAAGTGAATGTGCCAAGCAGACATCCACCCAGGGCGTCCTCTGTTGAAATGAAAAATAACTGAACAAGCCCAAAAAAAACTACATGATTTACATCTCTCTTGCCTTCTCAGTTCACACAAACAAATACAAAAATCCACTGATCAGAACCAAACAACACCAAAAAAATTGGTTAAAAAGTACATATACAATTTCAGAAATAAAGGCGCTTTATTTTTGAGCATATAACACTGAAAGCATTTATTTAAAAACGAAACAGACAAGATTATCAAGCCTACAGCCTTTGATGTTTGGTAATAAACTAGGCAACAAACCATTTCTTACATGGATAGAAAAGCTGAAGTACATGTGTAAGATGCAGGAAACTACAAAGCATACCTGACAATGAGATCTATCAAAAACTGACAAACTCTAATCAAGACCAAAGTTAAAATTACTTAACTAAAAGATCTGACCTTAACAAACGATGATATATTCAGTGCAAAACAATGAATGTATAGATCATTTGATAAGTCGCATTTTGAGCCAATGGATCTCAATTCTGCAAATTGAAACATTGGCCCTGCCTCCATCACTCTGTGGTTTCTTTATAAGGTTTCCATGGAAACAGGCGAGGCTTCTTTGGGGTACCAGTACAGTTGACGATTGTCTAGTTCTACAAACGGAAATCGCCTGAGGCTCCTGGCGGCATAAAAACTTGAAAACGTTTGTGGAAAGGTATTCATCCAAAAATCTTCGGAAATTATCCAAAAATACAGAACAGTTCTGGGAAGTTATTTGAAAAACAAACACAGCAACATCATCGCTCACTCAATGTTCTGAACAGCTGAACAGAAATCACATCGAAGAGACTAGTTAGAAGCTGAAAACCTCCAAAGAAAGTCTGAGTAACACCGTTCATCATGCTCCGGTATTAATTACAGGGCCAGCTCCTTCAAAACACATACTAGAGTTACCTAATTTCCTTCAGTAAAGCCAACTTTGACTGATCCTAAATAGTAAGCATCACACATGGGTAGAAGTTGAACTTTATTGGTCAATATTTGAAAAGGGGAAGGAGTCTACCGATTACCAATATTATGCACATCGTGGAAAAATAATGGACTCATTTTTCAAATGAAGGTTGCAAAAGGGGCTTGTCCAATAAACATGCTGTATTATGATATATTTGCTCAACTAGTCTGATTACAACAAAATATAATCTGTGTACAGTGATAACCTCAACTAGCACACCGCCAGTGTAAATGAAACTATTACAAAACTTTCCAGAATTGAAAGCGCTTTCTAAAATTTATTGGATACCCTTTAAATATGTTTGCTTCTTTTAACTTGTATACCAGGCTTTTAACTCTACATAATGATGAGGTTTGCTGTCTATTCTCAGAAAAGACGCTTATAACAAGAGTGATAATTTTGGCATTTGAAGAGTGACTATTTAGCAATGTGAAACTCCTGCATCGGTATCCGTCCAGCTTGGAGAACGACTAGAGTTTGGTATTGGGCAGCTGCAGCAGTCCACTCAAGTTCTGCTCATCAGAGGAAGTGGGCGTGGCTTCTGCAAGGGCTTCGCCGACAGGGCTGGCAGCTGGCTCATCTGCATAGAAAGAGAAACTGTGATGAAATTTTGCATAATTGCTTGAGGAAGTGGATAAATATCGAGGAAGAGTTGAAACAACTACTGTTGTCCGTAACTTGCTATATGTTTGTAAGTTCATCCTTGGGCATTTTCTGCTGCTGTTTGAGGGCGTTGTTTTGTTTTTCAGTTTGTTTTTCTCTTCGTTTGGGGGTTGATCGGAGGGGCGTGCAACTTTAAAAAGATACATACCATCTACTATGGACTGCTTACTTACCTACCTACCCCTGCTATGGACTGCTTACTTACCTACCTACCCCTGCTATGGACTGCTTACTTACCTACCTACCCCTGCTATGGACTGCTTACTTACCTACCTACCCCTGCTATGGACTGCTTACTTACCTACCTACCCCTTTAGCGATAAAAAAATTGAAAACACTACCAGTGAAACCACTTGAGTATTACTTCCAAATGCGCAATACTACCCTGCTAGCAATGCCCATGCAGCTGAACTTTGGACAAGCAAATGTTATTTTCACCAACTTTTATCCCATTATAAACCAGGCCTGTCTCTAATGCCTTTTCCTGATTGCCCAAATCCTGAATAAATCTTGTTTCCAGACATCGGCAAATGCGTAAGAACTGCATGTGTTCCGTCTTCTCGCATATCGCATGTATACACACTGCACCGGGAAAATATTATAAGAATTCACAACAATTTTTCCAAAGGTTTGGAAGCCATGAAAAAGTTACTGGGTTGGTGATTCATGCTACCTAGCTTGCTCTTGTCATTAGATGGTCTCCCTTGGAAGATGTCAGGGATGACGTGAACAGGAGAGGGCTTATCAACCATGGAGAACTTGTCCTCTGGTTTCTGCTTCCTGTAAAGTAATAATAATTTGCTTTGGGTAACGACGTAGGCAGGTATGTTCACGCACTGCCTTGCAATCAATTAAATAAGTTATAGAAGTTTGAACTGGGCAAAGTTTATTAATTAATTAATTTCCTTATTCACCCAGTGTAGGCCCCAAACAGCTGAAGCTGGTTTTCACTGGGGCCCTGCAACAAAACATAAAATTGAAAAAAAAATTGTATGTACATTACGATAATAGCAACTAGAGCAGGAACAAAAGAACAAATCATGTAAAATGTTAATAAAAAATGATTACAAGAGTTATGAAATAACAGAGAGAAGACAGAAACAGTAAATTATGTACAAATTAACAGAAATTGAACAAGTAAAGGTAAACCCCCCCACAAAAAACAACCAAAAAAAAAGGACTCAGGTTCAATTTTTCCGTCAATAACTGAAAATCAAAAGGCCTAATTGCTGAATTAAGAAAGGCATGACTAACGGCAATCGAATCCTAGAAATATAAATCTAAAAATAAGGGGGAAAATTAAGTTCAGAAAAAAAAAATAACAAAAACAACAATATTAAAAAAATAAAATCAAAAATGAATGAATGATTTTAAAAAAAAATTAAACAAATAATACACTTCTTTGAAGTTCTTGAACCATGGTTGTTAGCTCAATTGTCTGAATTCCACTGGGATAAATTAAACAGGGTAAGGTGTCTCCAGGCTTGGAGGATATTTAAAAAATTATTGCCAGCCCAGCCTTTCTTTCAAATTGAAAATATTACACAGTTCCAGGGCTTGCTGTGTTCACTAAATTCAACTTACTTCAGTTTGAGTGTCATGATTGCGATAACTGAAACGATGAGGATTAACCCGACGCCAGCAACACAAACGGCAATCACTTTCACGTTATTCATTCCAACTCCAGAGTTTTGGCCGACTTGTGGGTCTGAAAAAGAGAAATACAGAACAAACTTTGCATTTATATAAATACGTCGGCAACGTTCCCCATCTGAGCACCGGCTTCAGACTTGTGATTTAAATTCAGATTTGCATTTCTGTGAATGTCCATTCCCTGGCAAAGTCGGCAGCACATACCAAAGCATTCACTGATGTTAGTTGCCCCTGGGCCACTTGTCACTGTTCCTTCGGGGCAGTGCCAACAGATGTTCTCCCATTCATCTTTGTAGGTGTTGACGGGACAGGGTTTGTAGATGTAGTCATATTTGTGGCCGTCCCACGCCCAGATCATACCTTTGGCGCATTGGACTGAAACAAAATAAGCAACATAAAAAGCTGATTAAAAGGGAACTTTTTCACTTCTGATGGTCAGAGCGTGAAGAGTTTGTGGTTCACAAATTATCCCCTTGGTGTTTTCCTGTGAAATGGTACTACGGTTGATAGGCACTGTAAACACTATTTCTGCTGAGTATTGATTCTAATGCATTATGGGTTTTGTGCACATCAAGATAAAAATTGGTATGGTGCATTTCATGCCATTTGTGCACGTGGACATGTGATGTGTCCTTCATTGATCCTCATGAATATGTAACACAGCGCTATCCACGTTCCTGTACTAGGTCTACAAAGATGTTGTTCCCCGTCTCTTTAATACACTTGCTGTGTTCATGCATTCAGAAGCGTAATAAGTAGCTTTATTTTACAGAAAACCCAAGCTGGAAAGCTGACCAAGAAAAGTACAGTGTTAAAGAGCTTAACCTTCTCCTCAGAGAAGCAAGCTGAGGATTCAAGTCTAGATAAGGTAACTGCAATTCACGCCGAGCTGAAGTGCACCCTCACTGGTGAAAGAAAGACAGATGGTACTAAGTTTTCCAATAGGGTTCTGGCACGTGTTTGGCGTGCAGACGAAGACAACACATTCTAGCCTAATTGTTGCGTGTACTCAGCATGCGCTGCTTAAACGCACATGAAGTTGTGCAGCTATGCGGTGCTTGAGTACCAAAGGATTGTCAATTTCATTTCAAAATATGCCCTCTTTTGTTCCTGCTCGGAGTGGATACGCAGTGCACTACAACCTCAGTACCAGAGTTTTTGGGTACAATATTCAGCTTGCTGAAGCTATTATGAAGACTTTGGTACTCACTGCAAAATCCTTCCTGTTCACTTTCCACGCTCCCCTCCGGGCACACATCCCAGTCATCCGTGGTCATTGTGTCCAGATCAGGCTGACAGACTTCTCCGTCATGCTCGATGCCGAAATCTCCCTGTTCCATGCGTTCAGACAGACTCATCAAGGTCGAATCAAGCTCCATATCTAGACGTGTTGTGCCATCTGCAACAGACACGTAGAAAAAAAAATGAATGAAAAGTATAAGTAAGCATGTGACAAGCAAAACTCACCCCTCATAAATCTGCTGTATATATTTGGCCAGCAGTAATCCTTCACACAGGATCAATGAGGTTGATAAAATCAATCACATTTAGCAAATAAATAAGCTTTGTCAAATCAATCAGCTTAATCAAATCAATTAGGTTTATCAAATTAGCCAGGTCTCATTAAAAACACAAAACAACCTAAACAATTTTACTGTAGGTGTAGGGCCAGCAGTAATCATTCATAAGAGATCAACAAAGTTTATCAAATCAGTCAAGTTAATCAAATCAAGCAGGTCTACTTCGACATATTGGTTCCTGCCCATTCCTTTAGACACCAGTCTCACTGTTTGACGTAACCCTCCCTACCAAATTTTATCTCTGCAAGGGTACGTTCTGCTCGGTGTTGAAGAATGCTTGTGAATGATCTTCTACAGCATGAACATAGAAAAGACTGCACACAATGGACACTTTTTCCAGATTACTTTGGTTTTATGGTAGCCAGTGCTACACCTGACTTGGATCAGCCAGCTGACTCTGGCAAGCTCGGTGGTTAAGTGGTTAAGACGTCTGCACTAGTAAGCAGGACGTTGTGGGTTCGAGTCCTGCCCGAGTAAGCTTGTCAGTGTGAGGTCTAAACCTGTAATTTAAAATTGTTGCTGTGATTAGAATGGACCCATCTCCAACACAAGGTTTGACACTTACTGTCCAGGATGTCACTGACAGTGTCATTGTCGTGGTCAGGCAGGGTGACCCAGATGGTCAGTTTGATGGGGGCTGTGGACTTCTTCTTTCGTAACGTGGCCCTTGAGGTGCGATGACTGCGCACGTCACAGTTGGACACCTGGAACATCATGATCAAAACCAATGCTTGCTGACTAATTCCTAAAGCCAACTTAAAAAACTTGACGACATGGTGCCAAATCGGGGCTGTGACCACTTACTTAGTAAAAATGACAGACAGAGAATGTTGCAAAATCAACTTCTTTAGTTGGTGATGTCATAGGAGATGTTTATAAAATATACAGTGCACAGAAAAGAATATTCGCTACTGCTGACTTCTGAACCCACGCTTGAATGAGTACCAATTGAGGCTTTGCATGGTAGCCATCTTGCAGGGCAATTCTTTTGTTCCACGGGGAAACCTTTGTGCATACCCTGTGGAACAAAAGAACTGGCCTACAAGATGGCACCCATGCAAACCCTCTATAAGGAGGAATACTTCGTACAATAGAAAGTTGAGCGGGCAACAACACCGAATACTCACGGTGACATTAGCAGCACAGGTCTGAAGTGCCAGGCAGCCCGTGGACCCCTGCGTGGCATTGTGCAGTGTGGCGGAGGCATGAGCATAGATGTTAAGCTGGTCACTCAGCGAGTAGCACTGAAGATCAGGGTACGTCAGGGTGATGTTGGCTGACACAGCAACACGGGGAACCAACACTGCCAGACAGACAAAGAGACAAAAAATGATGTATTTTCAAATTCAAGCCAATTCAATAGTCATGCATGTTTCACAATTTGAAAAAATTCTTTGCTATAAACACTGATCTTAAGCAAATTTGTTTCTTAAAACCTAACAACTGTAACACGTGAAGGGCAGTTTGGTAGTTCAAGAAATCTGTCGCCCAGTTCTAGAACCCACAAATATACCAATCAATATGGTGTAGATTAACAATTTGGTTAAACAACTCAGGAACTCTATCATCTTGCTGGTTAATAGTTGTGATTGTATGTTTAAATGTTTGCAGAGGTTGTCACCAAGTTTTTCTGAATATTTTTTGTCTCTGAGATAAATAATGACACAAAAAAAACGTACAGTTACAGCTGGGTAGCCGAACCGAGCGACTGTTCTCAGGATTGTGGTCCCACACGTAGTCCGTACTTGGACCGCACCGGTACTCGCTCTGTGGTGTTGTGGCGAAGGCATAGCCGTCGCGACATGAGATACGGCAAGATTTCTCACCGGCATCAGACTCGTTGCAAGCGATGAAGCCACGCAATGGACTGCGCAGAACAGGACAAGCTGATGACAAAATTTGATGCAAATAATTTCCATGGATCAGTGCACAAGAACAAGTTCAAACCAATTGAAGAGCAGAGAGAAGAAGTCGAAAACACAAGTCTTCCCTTGAGCAATTCTGGAATCACAATGTTTTTCATTCAAATTTAAAACAGATGATTTGTCTCCAATGAACCTAGGCAGAAGATGAAACTGACCCTTGTCTAACTACTTTTTAACCCATTCGCGCTGGTAATTCTTTTGACTGTGACTGCTGGGCTGTGGTATGCCCTGAATGGAAGGCCTTGTCCATCAGCAGGCCCCATTGAACCAGCAGCTGCATGGTGAATAGACTGTGTGTGTGGTATGCACTAATCCGCACACAAAGCCGCGGCTGTCAATGGTTCCTGGTGCGAAGGGGTTAAAAAGTTCCAGATTTTTCTATAGTTAAGAGGCATGGTTTAGAGATAGCAGCATACGTATGTACTGACTTAGTACCTGAGCAGCATACGTATGTACTGACTTAGTACCTGAGCAGCATATGTATGTACATGTACTAACCAAAGATCATATAGCAAGATGGTGAACTTCACCGTGAATACACGTAAAACGTTGTAATCACATGGGCGCCATTTGAGCAAGCGATGCGCGTGTGCAATGCACATTAATACACAGGCGCAGGCGCTGCGGTTGGCACGTGCACCTGGTAAACCTGCGCCCAAGCATTACCGTAAACTGCGCAGGCATATTGCTTGCTCAAATGGCACCCATGGTAATTACATCTTTTGGGCAGAGTTATCTATCTTGCGCCTTCAGCACTATACGATCTTTGGTACTGACTTAGTACCTGATGCTTCACTAGCAGGCTTCAATTACACAGTTTTGATGACATGCTGATTTGATCCTTCATGGTCTTTGTCTGTATTGTGTTTTCACTCTCTGATGACTCTGAGGAACTCAAAATACCTCGTTGACAGTCTCACATCTGTTTACAGGTTAAAGGTCTGCCAAGATGGCTTGAAATAAGCTGAATTCCTTTGTTAGTATTCTAGCTTTGTTGACTTTATGACCTACTTGGGCATCTTTCTGTGTTGCACTGCTCTGCTTGGTAACCGGCCCCCTGACACGGGGCTCCTCCGTTTTGGGGCTCGGGGTTGTCACAAAACCGCAAACGAAGCTGACTACCCCTTCCGCAAGTCTTGGAGCACTCCGACCAAGCCTGCCATGTACTCCACTGACCGTCAACTGTGAAAGTTAAAAGGAACAACTTTCTTGCATTACCACTTCACATCTTGTGAAGATGCAAAATACTATTTACCAGGTAATAGGGGACTGGTTGTCTCACGCAGATCTGGATCATGGTCAGTGATCCAATGTTGGTTCACTGTTAGTTCCCTCTTTGATAGAAACCAACCATCACAGGTTCTCATTTCTTCCGAGAGCAATTCATCATTTTAATAAACAGTTTGTATGACAACTTTTACCTTTGCTGGCCAATGATATGGTAAAGGTTGGCTAAGTACTGCAATTTGCTGTTTTTATGGACATGTGTAATGTTTGGTATTGTTTGTTTACTGGTGGTGGTCTTTTCGATACTATGGGTGAGGTGTCTTTTTATTTCAATTTTTTTACTGTAACATACGTGCTTTTTATGTCATCTGAGTGTTTTAATCGTTCCTATACCTGATTGTGCTGAATATTTTATGTAACTGTCCTTTCAGGATTTTAATGTACATTTCAGTCTTTTATAAAAATCTTAACATTGAGTAGGTATTTAATATTACTCTTTTAACGATTTTATTGATCCTACACCAGGAGAAGGATTTCATATCTGTTTTGGGATTGGTTGGTTGGTTGGTTGGTTGGTTGGTTGGTTGGTTGGTTGGTTGGTTGGTTGGTTGGTTGGTTGGTTGGTTGGTTGGTTGGTTGGTTGGTTGGTTGGGGGAAAAGGTTGTATAAAAGTACTTGCTAGTCCCAAGAAATTCATACGGTTACAATTTTTGGTTGAAGGGGTGAAATTCTATAACTTACCAGTCTCATCAATCTCGATATTGCACACCCTGCCAGTGTATCCCATAATGCATTGGCACCAGAACCCAAAGGGATCGCTGTGGCACGTTCCATCATTCTGGCAAGGGTTCAGAGAACAGAGGTCAAACACGTCCTGGCATCTGTCCCCTAGCCAGCCTTCGGGGCAATAGCAGAAGAAGGTGTGGAGCTGGTCCTCGCAGGTTCCGCCGTGCTCACAGGGAGCACTGGAGCACTCATCGTAGTCTTTGAGCAAGAAAAGAGAGGATATTGTGATGAAAGTAAAATGACACTGAGGCATTTCAGTAACACTGCTGCATGGAAAAATAGGGCTTGCCGATCTGAAATGCTTAGCAATGTGCAAAGCAAGGCACTGACAATGAAGACCTATAATTCATAAACAAAAACTAATCCTCAAACCTAGTTCCAGAATATTAATTGGTCTGGTACAAGCTCCACTCTCAGAGGAGGGTATGGCGTACCCAATAGATCTAGGGGTAGTTATCCGTGTTGGCCACATTAACACAAGGAGAACAGGCAGGTGTTAACATGAGGGGCAGACTGGCCTCCTACAGTGTTGATAGGATGCTGATAATTATACAGAAAACGTCATCCCACTGCAAAATGAAATCCTGGCTTAAGAGAAGATCAAATCTTTAAAAGAGAAATTCACCTCATGTCTAGCCTTCTGCCTCTTTCTGTATTTACAGGCTGTGGTTTTACTTACCGTCGCAGATTGATGGCGCCCTCAATGTGTGCGTGATGCTAGCCCCGGGCAGCGCCATCATTTGACCCCACGCGAAGGCATTGCCGGGTGGGAACGGAATGCAGTAGGAGGCGATGTCTGACACCTCGACTTCATTCAGGGCCTCCTTCCATATGTTGAGGCCTGTAAGCTGGAACTGGCAATCACGTGGACCGGTCTCGGAGTCCACTGAGCAAAAATAAGACGATGATAACTCCAACTAAGATTTCTTTAATCTCTTTAATCTCCATTGAAACAACTTCAATGCCAACATCTGGGAATCACACACACAAGAGTTTTGGTAAATATGTCACTGCATGTCAGCTTTATAGCATGAAACTTCTAAGAGATTGCGAGCAACCAATGGATGACCCTTGAAAGAAATCTCACCTTCATGGCCAATCGTTAGTGCCAAACCACTCGGAATACTCGTTGTGACGCTTGACACAGCTCCCTCAGCTGCCAGCGACTGGTCCATGAAAAACTTCCACTCCAAATTCGTCAGATATTTCAAGACTAGCATGAGGTTGTGCCATCGTCCATCGCAGAAGTCTTTCTGTGTGCCAACAGCAACACTGCGACTGGAGAACAAGAAATGAAAGACAAGGAGGCATGAGATCAACAGGAAAATGGTCTCTCATCCCAACGCAGACAGGCCTATAAACAATCGGTTTGATACTGCTCAACTGGTAAAATTGCATCGTAAAAATAACTTGATGACGATCGGAGCTGCATAACGCCATCATAATGCATTCAAGTGGGCTGCAAAGTACTCAACAGTAGGTGAAATTTCAAATTATATTGCGGTCGCTCTCAACTCACTGGAAATCAGCATTCCAATGAGCCAGCTCAATATTTCAAACAGGCAGGGACGTTCGAGATCAAAGCATGTGAGCATGATCAAAGTGCTTGAGTCGGCATACAGCTGTGATGATTAGGCTGACCTCATGTATATGTACTGCTGTTCCAGAACGACTTTTAACATGCTTCTGTGTGGGCAAGCGCCGTTGGAATAGTGAACTGGCTCATTTTGTTAACTGCACTTAGAGATGGACAGTGTTCAGTGACTAATCAAAAGCAGCGGAGAAAAAAACAAAGATGACTTCCAGAGTTCGAACCTCCCTTTACCACTCACCCGTGAAGTTGGAGTAGAAGGTTGCACGGATTTCTGACCTCGACGATGGCCGCTGACCCGCTGGACAACTTCACCATGACGATGCCGCTAGTGCAAGCAGACGAGTTGAACCACAATGCCAAGGAGAGTTCAGAGAGGTCAGCAGAGGTCATGCCACTGATCTCTCTGACCTGGATGAGGTCAGAGGCCGTAGCATTGGAGAACACCACGTCAAAGTCTGCTGACAATTCTACGGTGGACAACAGATGAAAATAAACAAATGGGAACATTACCAGTTAATAACATTTTAGGGAGACTCACTTTGAAAAACTCATTGAAAAATGCCATCCTTACTTGACAGAAAACTGAAATTCATTTCCCTTGTGATTTCTGATCAAAATATTGCACAAAGATTAAAGCTTCACGTCCAGACCGAAAAAGACTTCTTGCATGTTTGCAAACAATTCAAAATTTCAGAACATTACCCGTTTCACAGTAGACCCCTGTGTATCCCGGTAGGCAAACACACTGGTAAGCATTGATGTCATCTATGCACGAAGCTTGATGTTGGCAAGGCTGGCTCTGACATTCATCGACGTCTACATCGCAAAGTTCACCACTGTGGGACAAGAAAAATACCAACACAATAACACTTCGGCACCTCAGCACACAATGAAATTATCAAAAAGGTCAAAGGTTAGTCTTCCATTCCATTCAAAAGGTACTTTTATCCCAATAGTAGCATTTTCCCAAACTTTTGAGACAATTCCTGTCACTAAGAGTTTGCTCTCGAGGTATAAAATAAGTTGACTGCAAATGTTGGACGACAATATGCTTTATAAATATCCATTTATTATGACATTTAGATCTGAAGTATGATTTTTTTAGTAAATGTCTGAGTAGTGATTTCTCACGGCAAACATCACACAAAGATTCACCTGTATCCATCTGCACAGGCACAAGTGAAGCTGTCGCCTTGGGGTATGCACGTAGCATCGTTAGCACACATGCCGTCAGAGCACGAATTGGGCAGGATTCTCACTGGTACATTGCACAGGGGACCGGTGAAATCTTCAAAAGAAACCAGCAGTTCATTCAACAGTGCTTACCTCAAACAGGAGCAACTCATGCCAAAGAGGTTACTTTAGACAGGCAACTTAATTATACAATTGAAATAGTCCACATGTAACAATGAGCTACACGTCTGCTGCACTGGTACTGAAAAACTGTAATGTACATCTTTCTTGAAAAAAATTGAAACTTCTACGTATGTAAATGACTACATTTACAAATACTTTTTACAATTGCTTGAAGCAAATGACTTAACTCAGGAAGTCAGCCCAAATTTTAAGCTGCAGTGAAAAGTGGAATCTTTGGGGCAACTACTTGGTGGCACACTCCACTAGGAATCACTGCTTTAGGTCAGGTAAAGGTTCTAAGGAAGGAGGTCTTTTGGAGGGACGTATGTCTTATACAAGGAACCTGTTAAGTGATAACTGAAGTTTCGGGAAACGTTGGCCTACCGGATGGGCAATCACATGTGAATTCCCCCACTCCATCCACGCAGCTACCTCCGTTGAGACAAGGGCTGGACTCACACTCGTTGATTTCCTCCTCGCAATGACGCCCTCTGTAGCCAGCGGGGCACTCACAATTGAAATCTGCCACCTGCAGTTTGGGGGCAGGGGTTCATTCACGAGAAGGCAGGTATGTCAGACTTTTTCTGGATATTTCCTTGCGCGACCATGACCACATTTGGTCTGACCATTAAAGAACACAACATACCAATTTGGTTAATTAACAGCTCTGGTAATACAAATCTAATGACAAATGGTGACAATATTCTGGAAATGAAATGAAACTAGCTCTTTCTGGAGAAATTGTGATGGTCAGGAATGGCACGTTTTAGTGTGTGATCAGCAGCAACGACTGTTGAGCCTCCAAGAGAGTCCCCTTCAAAGTCTATGCTCTTTACCTTATCAACACAAGTCCCACCGTGCTGACACTCAACGTTGAGTACTTGACACTCGTTGATCTCCTCTTCACAATTGACTCCGCTGTAGCCAGGCGAGCAGTGACAGACGTAGGCGTTGAGCTGATCCTCACACTCACTGCCGTGCTGGCAGGGTGATGAGTCACATTCATCAATGTCTTCATTGCAAAGCTCACCTTAAGAGAAATCCGATATCAATCACAGGTTTGAGAATAAAAGTCTACAAAATGCGGAAGAGGCTAAATGGACCCACAATGCCTCAATAAATTGAAGTTAGTAAAGTAGAATTTTAGAGAAAATTACCCATCACTTTCGAGACATATTTTACGCCAGAAAAACTTACCATAATGGGCATACAATTTCATTCCCCGACAACAAAACTCAATCTAGTTTCCCATGTCAATGAATAAGAATTATAGGTAGAACTTTGTGAGGTACCTGTCCATCCTGGTTCACAACGACACTGAAAGCCATTGACTAAGTCAATGCACGTGCCGTTATGACATGAGACATTCGCACAATCGTCAATGTTTATCTGGCAGAGGTTCCCAGTGTATCCTGGTGCACACTGGCACAGAAATCCGCCAACAAGGTCTAAGCACGTCCCTCCACTCAAGCAAGGAGCACTAGTGCATTCATTCACTTCTACCTCGCAGTTGGCACCGGTGTAACCCTCGCTACAGACGCAGGTGTAGCTGTTGACGCCATCAATGCACTCCGAGCTGTGCTCGCACGGGTAGGACGAACAGTCGTCCACATTGATGTCACAATCATGACCAACAAATCCTGATGGGCATGAACATCTGTAACTGGGCGGGTCATTCTGACACACTCCTCCATGCCGACAGGGACCGCTTTGGCAATAGTCGACCAGCTCCTCACAGCGGGTACCAGTGAAGCCCACTAGACAGTTGCAGGTATAGTCATTGATCCCATCCACACAAGTACCACCATTCTGGCAAGCACTACACAAGTAAACTCAAAGTTTAAAGTGGGCTTTAATTGACTTTACTTTAAACAATGCTTAAGTCAGGAAAAGTTGGAGTGTTCTTGTGGAATTGTGAATACCCCACAGGAACAAGCATGAAACACAGACTGAATGACCAACTTTCATCAGAATGTACATAAGTTATGTCTTTAAGTGTGGTGAAAAAATCATTTGATCTTGGTTGCATAATGGAAGTGACAACAAAATGTCAACACGAACGTGTTAAATTTATTAGCACTAGTCGTAAATTCTCAGATGTAAACAGACGCACGAGTTTCAGCGCTAATCCTTTTCAAACACTACTCTTGTAGTGAAAGTTCTCTCAGCTGTCAAGCACACTTTCAGCCAACCACTCAGTCAATATTACCTCAAGGAGCAGTCATTGATGTTGACCTCGCAAGCTTGTCCCATAAATCCAGCCAGACAGAAACACATGAACCTGTTGTCAAGGTCTACACAGAAGCCGCTATTTTGACAGGGTGCAGAGGCGCACTCATTAATGTTGGTCTCACAGTCATGACCTGATCAAGCAGAGAAATTGGACTAAAATTAGTGAAAATTTAAAAGTTGGCAACCACTGACTTCCTCTGGTGATGCAACTGGTTGCGACTAAAGAAAATGTTTGACCTGTGGCACATTATGCAAGTTTTTCACTGAACTGCACAAGGCTTTCAGAAAATTTGCTGATAGCAAATCATAGCACAGCCATACCTGCGAACCCTGCAGCACATGAGCACAGGTACCCGACACCCGTATTACTGCATGTGGCCCCATGCTGGCATGCAGACGGTGAGCAGTAGTCAATACGATTCTCACAATGGGTACCAGTGAAACCCAGTCGGCATATGCAAGCATAGCTGTTGATGTCATCTTCACAAGTGTTACCAACTCCACAGGGATTGGACGAACACTCGTCAATGTCCACTGAGCATGTGGCTCCTAAGGATACAAAAAGGGAAAATATTGGATCTGAGAAAACTCAGCTGAGGTGAAAAAAATTCAAAAGACACCGTGTTCCTCAAATGCCTACGAAGAATCAATCCTTTGGGGGATGGCTGGAAATTTTGGAATGTCATTGTAAACAGTTTCAAACAACATAAATCAATAATCAATAAACAATGCAAATCAATAATCAATGAACAATGCAAATCAACAATACAAATCAATAATTATTGGGGAGTTTCTAATATTTGTTTTGGCTATGCTCAAAACTTATGAGCAACTAGCCAAAGTTGATAACCTAGAAATTTACTCTCAGAGGTAGAAACATGCTTGCCACTGGAGACAAAGTTTGGCCATTCAGAGGGGCTTGCTGTTGTGACATGTTTAACTGAACTCACCAGCAAAACCAGGCAGGCATTCACACTGATAAGCATTGGATCTATCGACGCAGGTGCCTCCATTGGAGCAAGGATTTGACGCGCATTCATTGATGTCAATCTGGCAATTGTGCCCACCGAAACCTGGCGTGCAATGACATGTGTAGGTGTCATCAGAGCCCGACTCGAAGATGCCATTATTCTGACATGGCGTCTCATCGCAGAGCTCACCCAACCGGTGCGGGGGACACAAACAGCTGAATGTCAACCCCACAGTTATGCATGTGGAACCATGGCGACAAGGCGATTCTGCACACCAGTTCACACTGCTCTCACAGTGTGCACCTTCATAACCAAATGCACAGATGCAGGTGTAGCCGTTGGGCCTGTCTTGGCAGGTAGCTCCATTAAGACACGGACTGCTAGAACACTCATTGATGTCCAAGGTGCAGTTGGTACCGCTGTATCCTGGTGCACAGTCACACCGGTACCCACCATCATGAAGTTGGCAGGTGCTTCCATTTCCACAGGGACTAGGAGAACAACTGTCCACAAAAATCAGGAACATTGTATGTGCATGGTTAATTAATGAATGTGTGAGCGTTGGTTGAATTTAGCATTTTCAATCATATTAATGCCATTTGCCAGTTTATTGTTATCACCTGTTAATCTCCAATTCGCATCGGGCACCGTGGTAGTTGGACGTACACTGGCAGCGATATCCATTAATGTGGTCATTGCACACACCTTCGTGCTCGCATGGTGAGGATGCACACTCGTTGATGTTTATCTCGCAAAATTCGCCTGAGGAAAGAATATCAACACTTTTGCAAACAAGATGAAGCGAGGCTACCTCGGCTGAGTTCATGAGTGTTACTCGCGATACACCTGGATGCAGGAACATGTTGTGGGCACATTTTTCTTCAATCACATCATGTGAACAATCAACATTAAATTACTTTTTTACGCCATCACTACATAACCCCAAGATACAATAGTATACTCCATGGGTCACACTCCTACAGTTTATCCACTTGGGACTTTACACTCGTGTTAAAACCAATAAAATGCTCAAACATAGCCTTTTGTAAAGAGATCGAGGCAAACGTCTGACACCTGTCTCACCTTGGAATCCCGGTCCACACTGGCAAGAATATCCCATCAGCTCATCCACGCAGGTCGCACCGTTGACGCATCTGTGATCCACGCAGTCGTCGACATCCTCTTCGCAGTGGACTCCTTGATAGCCTGGTGGACAGTCACACCGGTAACCAGCTATCAGATCCATACAGGTAGCCTGGTGCTCGCACGGTGAACGTGAGCAATCATCCACATCTACAATTAACAAGAAAAAACGAAAGCAAAAATGTTAACCTCGCATACTGCAGATAACCATTTCAGACTCTATTGTTCACGTAAGAGGGGACTGAAAAAATACAATAATTTGTAGGTGCAGGTGTGAGAACCAGTAATTGCACCTGACCCAACACAATTAAATCAAAATTTTACACAATCCGCAAAAAAATCAACACAGAATCTTGAAAAAAACCAACTTGTTTTAGATATAATCTGCCCCGAGCAGAAGCACCCCCTCATCGGTTGAGGCCTGTTCATTTTGTTAGTAGCGATGCAACCATGACGCGTGCATTCCTAGTCATTCATGAAGCAGCAAGTTTAGTTCCGACCAAAGGAGCCTCCGTTGCTAAGAAAATACTGCCCTCTCTTGTTCTAGCTCGAGGCCCATAAAGAAATATGAGCAAGGATGTGCGGAATAACCTTGGATTTTCAGAAGACTATAAACAAATAGCTCTTGAGATCACTTCCAAATGTTAAAACATCTTTTGTCTTTACTAAAGTAACCATAAGATAAAAAAGCAAAGATGAAATATTTTAATACTCAGAGAATAAAGAAAACAGGTTTTTTCCAATGGCCTGGGTGGTGACCTGAGTGATCTCCCCCCATTGTGCTTACCACTACACTGTTCTACGCTGGTGGATCCATTGCCCGCTGTACTGGTCCTTCCAGGACACAATAGACAGTGTCTCTTCTGGCTGTTGGGCTGGTAGTAACGACGTGCACATGGAAGGCAGGGAGCCAGTCCAGTCTCTGAATAACTTCCTGGTGGACAGATATCTGGGGATGGCAAACAAATTATCCATTTGACCTTTTAGAAGAAGTAATTTGCGTGGCTGAATTTACAAGCCAGAACTCAGGGTACCTGAATATCACATAGATCAATCAAGCTTAACACAGGAAACCAGTCAGTGGTTTCTTTTATCCAACCATTCCTAGTCACTGAGTACCAGGAAAATGATCTACACTCATGGTACATTTACAATGAGGGCCTAACCTCATACCGTGCATGCAAATGAGGACAGACAATATCCTCAGAGCCAATAACATCAAACTGGAAGTTTCAAATACTGTGATTCCATGTCATGTTTTTCTCCCACTCATGGAGTACAGTGAAAAACTGTGCAAGTTTGGCTATTCAAGTGCCAGGTCAGAGGTCAAAAGGCAATAAGCTTGCTCTAGTCAGATTAAGGCCCGTCTGAATCACTTGGCTGTGGCTTGAACTACACACGAGTCTATGGTAGTTGCCGCAGCCAGTTCCCATAGATAGGAGTTGAGTGTAATTACCAGCCGTAGCCAAGTGCCTCAGATAAGACCTGTTTATCTGAATAAGCTACTGGGTCTGTATTCGGACTAAACAATGCAATTCACAAAGGTCAAAGTGCACTTATCAATTCCCTAGAGATACACATAACAAACAAAACTTTTGCCAAATTGCCAACGTGCCAAGTCAAATTCTGATGACATGAACCTACAAACATACCCAGGCACCAATCGACGGTCTCTGCTCCAAAGCCAAGAGTCGTTTTCCCACTAGGGCACGGTTGGCATGACGGCTGGCCAGGCAGCGATTGATACTGGCCAATCAGGCATTTGAAGCAGGGGATGAGGCCATTGGAGGAAAAGCTTCCGGCTGGGCACTCCTCTGAAGGAAACCCAAGGCATGATGGTCTATATTAGTGTAACAGAAACATACCAGCCACAAGACCCACCCACATCAATGAATTCTTCCATCCCAATTTCACATACAGGCGACTCCAAGTAACAAAATTCTGTCAATATCCAACTCCATAAAAAAATTTAAAAGGAAGCTGAAACTTCAGAAGCAAGATCTCAAAACGTCAAATCTTTTACCCATGTAAAGAGTGACGAACGTTTGTATTGTTCAGCACTTGCCTACACAAGATGAGCTGTTTTTCGCCCCTTCATCGGCTGTTGTTGTTCCAGGTGGGCATTCAACGCATGACTCTGCAGCCTGCTGGTCCTGATAACTCCCTCTGGGGCAGTAATCACACTCCTCTGATTCCTGATTGTACCACGTCCCACAACTACAAGCAGCTGAAGAGAGCAAGAAAGTAAATTTAGGGCAAGACAGCAGTTCAATTTACCCCCCAAAACCAGATATTTATCTCCATGAAGGCTGTTGATCTGAAATAAAGTAGTTTGATGATCTGGGAAGACGAATTCAAATTCAAAGTAGTGAATGGACTTACTGCAGTAGAAGGTATCATTGCTGAGGACGTAGCCTGGTTGGCAGATCAGTTTAGAGTCGCCATATGACATCATGTCTGTGTCAACTTCTAAGGTAATGTCAGGAATACTTGAAATTGACAAGCTGCCATTCCCTATGGCTGTCATGAGATCATCGGCTTGTTCCTTCACTTTGGTTTCCGTGACAACCACCGCATCCTGGCTGTCCATCCCAGTTTCATAGGGGACCTCATAGTTCAGGTCGAAGCTGATGAAGACACCAAAGTCGATGTCCGTGTCCCGTTTCTCCCGGTGGGTCCGCGTGGCATCCAGTCGTGCAAACAGTTTATCCCATGTTGCATCCTCAGTGGCATGAAGCTCCTCAGTCACACGTGTCCCACGGCGACGTCGCTGAATACCAGGTCCATGTCCAAGTCGCCGGCCGCCTGCCCCACAATGCACCTGCACATTCTCAATGTTGCATTTGTTGGTCAGCGAGCAGGCATCCATATAAGCGGAGCTCTCTATCATGATGATGAAAGCAGCCGCTATTTGGTTCCGAGTGGATTGATCGCTGCAATCTCCGGAGAAGTACATAAGACTCATGGGAAGGTTTACATCACCCCTTCGTCCTGTGAAATTAGTTCAAGGACACACACAAGATTCATGACCATAATTTGCAGAAAACTACTTCAAAGGGCTACTATGAGTGGGGCAACTTCACGGATAAAGGCTTTCTGGCTAATTTTGGAAGATTTTGAAGTGAAAGACAAAGTCAAGGTCCATATCTACTGCTATGTTAGTGACAAATGTTTCACCATCACTGGCTCAAATAGGTTTTATATATAGCTCCGTACAGTACTCACTGGAGCAATCCGGTACCCAGTCATACGGAAGCCAGTCTCCGGACCTCAGTCCGCAAGTGTACTGTTCTGGTACAACACTGCCCCGACCCCGAGACCTTGAGAACTGGTAATCCTCATGGCAGAAGGCAGAGCAGATCAGACCAGAGGGCACGCAGGACAGAGCACCGTTCCTAGGGCTCGGCAGTGGGGGGCAGCTGTTGGCTATCAAATGTTGGGAACAGGGAAACAAAGTATTAACCACATGCAGGTCATCGAAAACAGCACCCATTGGGTGCAGTGCTACTCAGTATCACGTAGAGTTGTACATCACACCCACCACTCAAACACACAAAGCTCTCAACTACTCAATATCACTCACACTCAGTACATTATTAAAACTATTACTCACGTGTAATGTTGATAGCAAACTGGCAAGCCGCTTTTTGTCCATTATCTGTGTTGATGGCTGTGTACACCACCGTGGTTGTATCCCAACCAAGCTTTGCCGTGTTGCCGATGGCAACGTTGTTAGTAACCTCGAGGTCATGACCCAACGGGTCACGGAAGATGGGCTCATCCCAGGTGACATCAATAAGTGCCTCGTGGGCTATTATTTCATAGTCGCCAGGGCAGAATACAACCTCAGGCTCAAGGTCATCTGGGTTGGGAAAATGAAGAAAGCACATGACAAGCCTAACACTGTGGAAATACACAAGAGCAAGGGGTGAACCTCAGATATTCAGAATAAAATTAAAAAGTTCTCTTGACTATGTTCTGTTTAGAAAGTCACACGCTTTCAACATACATGTACATGGAACACTGATGCTTACTTGGCTGAGTGCCAAGTTAAAGGTTCTAATTCAGCTTCAACAAGTTCCTTTGCACAACTCAAATCCTATCTTTCCTCTTTCCATATTCCATCTTTAATTCCATCTTTAAATATTATTTTTTGCCCCCTGCTTTTTATTAAGGAACTCACCGAAGACGTAAACTCTAAATGCGCAAGAGACCATGTTGCTGCCCTCGTCCGTGAAGGCATAACACACCTCAGTGGACTCAGTAAACAGATAAGGCGAGGTGATGTTGGCTGGCGATGTCTCAAGAGTCAGGGTGCCAGACGGGTTGTTGTCGCGGGCTGTTGGGATGTCAAAGGTCACTGAGACTCCATTGGCACTGTCTCTGGTGGCATAGATCGGTCCCGGGCAGAAGGTCAGGACTGGAGGAATGCGATCTGTCAAAGAAAGACGAACATGAAAAATATGAATCTGTTGAGTACGTTTTTCTCCCCAACAGGTCCATCTCAAGAAGTGTAATCACTCAAGCAGAAAATCTGAAAAGCTCTTCTGATATGCAAATGAATACAAGTCAATGAAACATCCATGAAAATCAGGCAAATATCAATGAAATATTAATTAATTAATACTAACTTTTAATCATTAATTAACTATTAATTATTTACAAAAAAATCCATTCATTATTCATGAAATATCAAGCAAACTCATGAGTATAATGGCTCATAGCCCTACATTCATCGATCAACTTCACTGCCAAGAATCTGAAAGACCGTCTAACCTTCACAATCTGTTGGCAGGTTTTCAGTATCCACGTCCCAGATTCCTTGCCCTCCACAGGATACTTGTGACACGCCTCCAACAAGACTGAGTCCATAGGGGCAGAAGAAGAAACACAGGGTACCAGCTAGTGGACTACCAGCCATACAAATGGGCGGAGTGATCTGCACGGATTCGGGTAATGACAGGGCGTCGCACGTGATCACTGTGAATAGAAGAGGATTCCGCTCAAGTCAGTTTTGAATATGCTGTCGGGACAACCTTCTAATCTTGCAAAAGCAGAGCAAATTTAACACAGTGAACATCTGAAATTTCGTTACAAGGTTCCATGTCAATTACAAATTTCTTCACTCTAAGATTTGATTGAAATTTGAATAAGGGAATAAATATGGGCTTAGCTGGTTTTCGCCGCCAGAGCATTAAGCACATAATTACTCCCATTCATAAATACCCTTTCTGGTTAGAGAGTCAAAAAAGTCAATATATGACAGATTTCCAATGATTTGGTTGTAGAATTGTATTTTCATTTCCCAAACAACCCTGTCAATTTTATTTTATAGTTGTCCAAAAGAATCTCCTTATATGGACTCAGCATGCACGTAGCAAGCTGCATGGGATAGCTTATCATTTTTCCAAGCGTATTCAGTTTGTGCTCTTGAAGTCTAATGTGTGAAAATAACAACCTATTGTTTGATATCCTAGCCATGCTCGTTAGGTCAATGACCAATTTGTCAATTGCTTGTGGATTTTGCCTGATTTCCAATGCACAAAATATTCCCTGGATACCAAGTCAAATACATGAAAAACACTAATTAATGCATGTCATAACACTATCTGCTCTGAGTCAAAGTACACCCGCACCGGTGAAAGAAAGACAAATTTGTACAAGGTTTTCCATCCGGGGTTCTTGCACACATTTGGCATGCACGCGAAGACTATACATTCCAGAATACCTTCATTGTGCATACTAAGCATGTTCCACGTCAAACGCACACCTACGCAGTGAATTCGTACCAAAGGACTGTTAATTTCATTTTAAAACACGCCCTCTTTTGTCCCACTCAGAACGGATAGACTTGGCAGGTATTCGCCGACTTACATTCACAATGCGGTGTCTCCTCTCTCTGCCAGTACATAGAATCACCATTAAATTCACATGAAGCCTCACTGGAACCCACCAATCGGTAGCCGGCGATGCATCTCAGGTGACAGACACAGCCGTAGATGCGACAACAGTCAGCCACATACTCCCCATAGGCTGGGATGGGTAGGGTGGGGCAAATCCGCTCTGTTTAGAAGAAAACCCCTAGAAATTAGGCTTTGAAATGGAAGTAAACACAGATCCCTCACAAGTTGAACGTAAGAAAACCAACAGTACTGTAGCAGGTTGGTTTGATCAAAGACAAAGGAATTAATTGACTATCATGAACAACTTTGAGTGTGTGATGTAACTCGGTTTCCAACCAAACAAAAATAAATAAACAAACAAACAAAATCAACATGCAGCAAACATTAGTTAATACAAGTTAGCTACATGTGACGGGTTTTTAATTTCGTTTGCTTCAGTTAGAACAAAGATTTACAAATGACTTACCGACTACTTCAATTTGGAATGAACAGCTTGCGGAATTACGGGCCCGATCGATGGCCATGCAGGAGACCCCGTGTTGACCCAGGTTAAACTCTCCTGGCTCTGGGTCACAGGTCACGGCAGGCTGAGAGTCGCTGTTATCAGAGGCTGCAACCTGGAAGTCGACTTGGGCCACGGTGGAGCCTCTACCAGCATAGGCAGTCAGTGCAGATGGACAACTCAATACAGGACTGTCAATATCTACAATGTCAGTAATTATACAGATATACTGCCCGGTTATGAGGGCACTAGTTGTATATAGACTATTCTATAGGCACTTAAAGGCTCATAAAATCACAATATGGTCAAATAAATGTCATACAATATTGCTGTATCTAGTTCCAAGACCTGATTTCTTCAAACTGCATGATGTGTGAATCAAGAGTAAAAACTAAATTTGTGCCTGACATTTAACCCACCTGCCCTCACATCATGACACCCTCCATCTCAAATTTACCCACTGTTCCCCAAATATGTAACACTCACTTTTCGTGAATATTTCAAAATCCGACCTGCCCATTTGCCAACACTCACCAACACACTCGATCCCGGATACATTGGCCGACCAACTTCCACTGCCCACACAGTGGACATAGCTACTGCCCACTGGCTCGATACGGAAACCAGCTTGGGAGCAGGAGAACATGCAGCTCTGACCAAATACAGGCCGGCTGGAGCAAGATGACGGAGAAACGTTGATACCGGTGCCGGGCGTCAAGACTGGACACTCAATTTCTGTCATGGCAGAAAAATTGCTGATTGAAAAAACTGCGAAAGTCTGTCAAGGCATGTCAAGTGTTGTTTGAAGCTTTGCATGGTATACAGTGAAGCACTGTGAGTTAAGGGAAAGATTCAGGGGACCAACGGGAGCCAGGCACCCCACCCCCCCATTTGAAATCTGTGAATACTGAATAATTTCCGTTGAGTTGATATAACCCATGCAGTGGCACCTTCTTTTTTGTGGTGCCCCCTTGAAAAAATGTTTGCCATCCCTGGTGACCCCCCCCCCCGACATTAAGCCCTAGTTATGCCACTGATCCATCCTTGTTGCAGATGTGGAGATAAACGAGGGTGTAGCATTTGAGTACAAGGTTGTCATCTTTAGGAGAGTTTGGCCAAGAATGATTTACCATTGCAGACAAGATCAGTTCCTGACCAGGTGCCATTTGCCAGGCATCGAGACCTCCCGCCATCGCTAGTCTGAGCCTCGTAGCCATTCTCACAGTAGAAGGAGCACTCAGTGCCATAAGGTTCAGAAGGGAGGCTGCAACCAGACTTGATGGAGTGGGGCGGGGCTGTCTGGGCAGGGCATCTTACAACTAGATTAAAAAAGAGTTTAACATAGAACAGTGGAACATCCAACCAAAGTATCAACCGGCCTTTCCGGTTCCAAAATATGAACTGATAAACCAGAGGCATAAATCTGTGCTGGGAACCGGGGAGGAATGGGAGATGACTTCAATCCAGAGATTTGCCAAGCCATGGAAATTCATAAGGGGGGGGGGAATTACGGGCCACCACATGACGCTAGGGGACACTGTTGACAGGCCACCACGTGACGCTAGGGGGCGCTGTTGACAGGCCACCACGTGATGCTAGGGGGCGCTCTTGACAGGCCACCACATGATGCTAGGGGGCGCTGTTGACAAGCCACCACATAACGCTAGGGGGCGCTGTTCACGTACATGTACATCTTGTGTATACTTACACCTCTTCATCTTCAATCAGTATTTCGTAAAGCTTTTGGATTTTTCTCCTTTTTTCAGGACTACTGACTCGGTTTTGGTTGTTGAGAAGTTTGAAAAATACCTCAAAACAAGCTTTTCCCCCACAATGAAACAATAAAGGGAACTAATCCAATAGCCTACCCATCCCCCCCCCCGGTCAAAAAGGGGGAGGGGATATATCCCCCTCCCACAAATTTACAACCTTGCAATTAACAACTTGTATCTCTGTGTTATGATGAACAGATATGTTACATACTGGTGCACACAGTGGTCTCTCCATCCCAGTAGGGCGTGTCATCACCGGTCAACTGACAAGTCCTCTGTCGTGAACCGCTCAGTGTGTAACCGATGTTACACCTTAAGGTGCATTCGGTGCCGGCGATGAAGCTCGGGTGGTTGCATTGGATGGAGCAAGAACTGGGGGCTTGGAGTCTCTCACAACGATGCACTGGGGGAAGGTACAAGGAGGATGGCGACAAGAGAGATATAAAGAGTGACAAATAGGGTGAGAGATGGGGTGATAATGGCCTCTGTGAAATCATCACAAAAAGCAAGGCAGGTCACTTTGATTCCTGACAATTCAATTCCTGCCCTCCGCATTCACAATTTCATGATGTGAAGTGTAAGTTAACAAACACCTATGCCCCGCCAAGCCAATGCCTGAACCCAGAACTTCAATTTGTGATTAAAAGATTTCCCTGTTTTTAAAGCCATTGCGCCTTGGCCCTTTGACCCCAAAAGTAATAGGCTTCTTAGGACTACCAAGAGCAATCCACGAACCAAATTTTAAGGCCGTGTGTTAAGCAGCACATCAAGAAGAAAGATGCATGGAGTAAAAATGTACTCATTACACCATGATCACTAATGTAGTAACTCTTAAAAAAAAGACTTTTCAAAATGTCTGATCAAAATTATGTAAGTTACTCAAAATAAAAGCAGAATCCAATTAAACAAAACTTCATTTTCAAAATTCTGAAGACATACGAAAGGACTTAAGAATCAAGTCAGACAGATGCATTGAGGACACATGGCAGGCATTGGGAGGCACACTGGGGTAAGCACACCGTTGCGCATGGATGACAATAAACGGTGTCTCACCGACAACGTTGATGATGAAGTCGCACTGTTCAGAAAGTCCCACTGGGTCTGAGGCGAAGTAAGCGACAGTGGTCCGACCTTCAGGGAAGATACTTCCAGGAGCTAGGTGGATTGCTTGTCTGCGACGGGACAAATAAGACATCATCTTAAAAACTCTCATCAACAGCAACATTCTCAACCTATTTACAGAGCTGATTTTCAACCATGAAGATAAAACCAACTCGTAATGAACAAGCCCTCGTTTTGGCACATGGGTAGTCCTTCTTCCGCCAGATCTGCTGAAGAACCACCTACCTTGTGACTGTGACATAGCCAGAGTTGTCGGTGGCAGTCGGTGGGTCAAAGGTCACTCTCTTCGAGGTTGTCCCAAACTCACTGTTGATGTTCACATGCTGCGGGCAGGCCACATTGAATCTCGGCCTCTGCTCATCTGCAAATTTTGTCAAGTTATCATTTATATCCTATGCAATAGAAGTGAGCACATCAAAGATGTCTTCCAATTATGAAACACTGTACAGCCCTCTGATGATTTCTCCAAGTGGCGGGGAAAATTTCCCCAGGTTTATGGATTTATAGCCAAGCAAAGTAATAACAGAACGAAAGGCACAGTTTCAATACGGAAACATTAGACCAATTTGGGACAAATCTAGCGACAATTAGACGCCATTCCGGTTTGAGCAGAAGCGCCCTCCCATGGGTTGTGTAGTGGATTGCACCTGCTATCTTCAAAGTACAGAGGCGGGTAATACGTCATGTAGTTACCAATGATGACTCGCAAGATGAAAGACAGATATTTGGGGGATAGGTGTTGTGGGCATAATGTATACAAACTGAGACAATCACGGTTTGTCAGACACTAACCGATGCAGACCACATTTTCTAGGCTGTCCCAGGACCCGTTGTCAGCGCACGTCTTGCTGTTGGGTCCCTCCTGTCTGAAACCGTCGTCACACGAGAAGCTGCACACCGTGTTATACGGTTGCGTCCCAGGCTGAGCACAGAGGGCGGGCTGCACCGATCCATAAGGAACAGGAGGAAGGCCAGGGCACATGATTATCACTACAGAAACAAGACAAAAAATTGTTTTACACTACTTTAAAAAAATCCTTCACAAGGTGACGTTTTCAGATTAATTTTTTTACATCAATCAACTTCCAAAATTGCTTATCTCAGTTTTTATAACCTCTATATACATTTTAAAAACAATTAAAAAGTGAACAAACCTTGTGATATGACTACAATTATATTTTTTACTGTTTGGTGGCACTAACTGTTTCAGTTTCTTGTGAATTCACAGGGTTTAAGTTTTCTGCCCAGCAATACTGGAAAGTTTCGTGAATCAAAGCGCTTTACCTGTGCACTGGAAGTCAGGTCCACTCCATGATCCATCTGCTTGGCACTGGCGGTTGCGGTTACTCTCGCCGCTGGCTGTCCTGTGACCCAGGTCACAGTGGAATTGGCAGGCATCCCCGTAGGTGGCAATGTTGCTATGGCAACCACTGATGTAACCATTGGTAACACTTGGATGAGTGCAGGTGTTGGCTGTTAAAAGTGAACAAATTTAGAAGGTTCAATCTCATTCCTCGTGAGGAAGCATCTCAAACCATCCTATCTTTTTTTATCATAACTCATTTTTTTCTTTCAAAATGCTCCAAACTGGACAACATTGTGGAACAAAAAATCTGCTGCTCACCCACGCAAGTTGGCTGAGATCCGTTCCAGTATCCTTGGGTGCTGTCTGCGGCCACACGTAGGCACTTTCTCCTCAGAGTGGCACCCCCTGTTGACAGTGTGTAGCCAGTCTCACAGCTGATGTCGCACCGGGAGCCGTACACGACACTCTGGGAGCACGCGCCATGGCCGGACACCAGCTGCAGCACGCCATTGGTAGGTGTTGGAAGTCCTGAGCACCGTGTCACTACGTAAATGAACATTGTTCATCAAAGTGTTACCACTGCATGCGTGCAATTTGTCGTTAAAAACACACTATCAACAATGCAGAATTGCTACCAGATTTAATGAAGGCTCTCATTATTCTTTTATACTCTTTATTTGGTTCGGTGCTTTCACAAACTATTCTTTTCGTATTGGCAGCCAAAGTTTGCAAACACATCTTCCTTGGTTGGTGTCAGAGTTTACCACAAAATGTGCATGTGTCCCCTTGCTTTTAAAGAGGGTCCTTTTTTTTTCATTGAGTGCTTTTTAACACCTGATTATTGTTTCGCTTTTGTACTGAGGGCCCGTGATTTTTTCACTGGTCGCTGACAGGCAAAAACGCCACCGTGATGCAGGAAGAGCCAACCCTATATAACTCTGTCTACTGTAGAGTTCAGACCTTTGGTCTCTAGTTGCATAGAGCAGGAACCCGAGTTGCCAGCGTTGTCGGTCGCCGAGTAGACCAGTGAGTAGGTCCCTTCTTCCAAGGTACTTGGCTTAGGGCCGGTGACAGGCACGGTGTTGATGGACAGCAGCACGGCGGTGATCTCACGGCCAGCATCCGTGCCCTGGAAATAGAGCAAACCTTTAAGGTGGTTGACTTGTCAAGACTTCTGTTATTGATAGAGACCAATGCTGGAAAACAGAATGAGAGTCCATCACCATGATGACCCCATGCTTGCGAGCAGATCTACAAAATTATGCCAAGTTTTCAGTCACTTTCTTGATTGAAATTTACTCTGAACATCAGCTTTTTTACACACCTACTTTGAACAAATTTAACAAATTTATGGGAATTTTTTTAAATTCAGCTTTTGCTAGCTGTTTTAAGCTTCTCAGACCCCTGTCTAAATTACAGGTTTCAGCAAAATTGCCTCTGAGCAAAGTACACTGTCATTCTTTTGCAAATACCCTTCTGTCTTACCTTCAAACAAAATCTATAAATCAGAGCCAAACGTTTCATAAGTAATCCTGTTTCATTTTTATAATATGTGAAATACTACATTATTAAGTTTTTGACGTCCAGCAGCTTTTGACTTTCTTACTACGGTAATTGAAAACACGTTTTTCTAATACCCAACTAAGTTAATATGAATTCAATTTTATAATGTTTATGATAATAAACATGTAAATCTTTTTCTATTTCAAAGATAAATCATAAGACGTTCTTATCAAGCTTCTCTTTATTTGGCATCACACACGTATACAATCACTTCCATGCTATTCTTTGAATCGGAACAAAAGCTTCTTCCAATCTTTTGCAAAATCCTACCGTGACTGGTTCCCAGTCCCAAGGGACTGACACTATTTGGTGCCCCTCCCCGGCAAACTCGACTTGATCTGACGGGCACTCCAGCACTGGATCTGTGATGTCTGTGTGTGGAAGGAAAACAATGGATCTATGACAATTATTACCCTGCCCTTTCTGTCTTTGGAAAGTAAAGCAGGAATTTTAAGCTTTTTGAAAATTCAGGAAGAATCTTCACTCCAATTGGGATGCAACTGAAAAAATTTTAAGATGGCAACACCAGAAACATTCAAACCAAGTCAAACTCAGGGCATATTACATAACCCTTGATTTCAAATTCTTTTTCGCTGAATATGGACGCCGGATTCAACATTTAATGCAAATCAGGTCACCTTTTGACTATACCTTCCTTGATCCTGCAAAATCCTCCTAAATCTCCATGTGGGTTCATTATCTGGAGTTAACAACACAAGCGAATGACCTGAACATGAAGCTGACCAAAAAGCTGACCTGAACAGACAGTTGTAGTTCCATCCCATGCCCCCGACACGAGGCAGGTTCGACTGGCCGAGCCCGATAGAGTGTAACCAACGTTACAAGCTGTGTTGCACACTGTATCAAAGGGTTGCCGTGACGACACAGGTCTGTTGCTTCCGTTGCGTTGGCAGGTGGACACGGTGCCATGGGCCGGTGTAGACAGGGAAGGACAAGTCACAACTGTGAGGGAGAAACAAGATTTTGGTCTGCAGTGGCCTGAATAGTTGAGTGGCCAAACTTGGCAGGTAGGCTACACGAAACAACTGAAATTCTTGGCCAATGACGTAAACAGCTTCTGATTTTAAACAGTAGCAGTCAGGTTACACTGATGTCAACAAAAACCATTCACTGTTTCATTAACATACTGGTGCATGTGATGGTTCCACCGGACCACACCCCGTAATCGTTACTGTTGCTCTGACACGTTCGGTGTGTCATTGCTGTTGGCGTGTAACCACGGTTACAGGACAGGCTACAGGTGGTGCCATAAGGGATATGGTCTCCGGTGCAGCCGCTCTTCGCTCCGTTGACTGGTGCAGGCAGGTCACTATTTGCACAGGTGATCACTGAAACAGTAATTAACATACACCTGGAATGAGACTATGGTCTCATATTTTGACACTAGGTCTTACATAAATGCAAAGGGAGCACACATTTGTAATATTGCTCATAACTTCAAATACAGTTTTCACATTTACAGATGTCTGAAGTAAATCTCAAAAGTTATAGCTTTGAAAACTGCAATCAACAAATTAATTGGACAAGTAATTTTTGCTGTTCCTACACTGAGCAATCTGAAAGAAAAATTGTCGGTGCAATATTGGGTTGAATCAACAGATTTTGCGGGGCTGATCATTTGTGTACATGCGTTTCTTTCCAAAATGGCAGCTTCCAAATAATTTAGTTCCATGGCAAGTCTCCATGACCTCACAATGGTGGTCAGGCGAGGGCGCTCTAACGGATATCTGGTCAAGGCGTATTGCTACAGTCAGAGGACTCACCCAGACATTCTGGTAGGGTCTGAAGCCACTGACCGTCTGACCCACAACTTATAGTCGGTGCGCCTGTTAATCTGAAACCTTCAGAGCATGCGTAAGTACACGTGGTACCATATGATACTACGTTACCGGCTGAACAGGTGCCACTGTTGGTTGGGGACAGTCCTTCACCTGGAGTTAGGGTGTTACACCTGTTGACTGGAAGAAACAATGTAACAGGGTAAAGACATGAGGGAAAAATGGTTTGCTAATCCAGATTCAGAGAAAAGTTTTGATGTTCATTTTTCTGCTCTAGAAACATTTGTATAAACGTTTTCAATCATGCTAAGGCATCACTACTAATCATCTGAGAACGGATATTTTGCTGACATTCAAGTTCAGTGTAATACATTCCCTTGCCTGGCTACCGACTTAAATTAAGAAAAAGCAATTGTGGCTGTATGTCTTGCTCAAGGACATCTGAATGATCAAGAAAGAAGGTTAAGGTAGCGAGTGGTCAAGCAGTGTAATGTGAAGGGCAGCAAGTCAACAGAAAGGGTAACAGTTTCCAAAACTAATCTCACTTTGGCATCCCGTGGTTGAGCCTGACCAGGACACGCCAGTCTGGCCTGGCAGGACCGTGCACCGTCTGTCGGCACTGCCGGTGATGCTGTAGCCTGTATCACACACAAAGTGGCAAAACGTCCCATAGGCATTGTCACACGTCGATGAATCCCTGAAACGGCCATGTGCGGGGGCAGTCAGAGAAGTGCATCGCAGAACTGCAGTAACAACAAAATAAAGAACAGTAAATGATGTAATGTGTACAAATTAAGCTTGACTACTACCAGTGAAGAGATGCCTTCCTGAATGATGGCTACCAATCGGAAAACAAAAACCTTTTTGCAAGGGCCAAGTTTGATTAGCAACCATTTGTAGACCTGCTTAATTTGCCTGGCACCCATGAAACTTTTCAGTTACTGAGGAAAACTGACCAGTGGTTGACAAATGACTGCTGACTGAACTTGGCCTATGTTGTTGAGCTGGTCATGACCTTGTAACCTTCTGTGAAACAGCAGTGGTAGGCAGATCACCATACCAGGGTCAAAGGTGTAAAGGTCCTGTGTAAGTGCTGATAGGTGGAAATTAAATCCAAGGAAATCTTGAATTTAATATTCCTGTGTAAATTAGTTTTAAGCCTAAGCCCTTTTTGAATCAACTGACTGCGGCTGTGTGATATGGCCACAGTTTTACTTTCCGAGTCATTGCAAAGTCACAGTGACATGACCTTTGACTTACTTTCACAGCTTGGCTGAGACGAGGTCCATGATCCACTAGACTGACAGGTGGAACTTTCTGAGCCAACCAATCGGAATCCTGCGTCACATGTGAATGTACACCTAGCCCCCTTGATGTGCCCATGGGGACAATTAACGAGAAGATGGTGCCCACTCTGGAGAGCTGGTGTACATGTAATCACTGTGGAATGTATGCAAAATCAAACTAACGTCACCAAAGAAAGAGTAGCTTTACTTTCCATTTATGACTGGCGCCTGAAAGAAATCAGTTCCCAATCGATGCATTTGTGGTTTTTACATTGTCAAGTCAGGAATTTATTAACTTCAAGCCTCCTAATCTTAGTGTTGGAGTTCGCTTCCAGATGCAGGGAACAGTGACTATTACTCCGAGTTGCCTGAACAGGTACAATGTGCCTGTCAAGAATCTGTGAGGTACTAGACTAGTGACAAGTGCAAACAGGTACCCCAAGTGTTCTTTGACTTTAAGACTGCTATATGGAGGATTCTCAGTCACATGAATTTTGTTGGTCAGCGATCAATGTACACGGATGTGCGCGGGAATGTGCACACCTTCGAAGTCCCTCAACAGTCTGGCAGAGCATGAAATTACGGTCGGACATCAGACATTTTCGGAGCACTTATTGTGTTTGTCCGAACAAAATCAAAGACGCTCGGGCAAATTGTCCAACCACCATATCAACAATAGCTCTTAAAATATCAACTGGCTCTACGTGTTATATAATATGGCGGATCAAAAGCTAGTAATGGCAGAACAAAATTGATTGTTTTATGACATTTTGTCTGAACACTTTTTTGGTCTTATTTTGCGCTCTGTCCTGGTGTATATGAAACTGCCAACAGAAATGTACAGATTCAAAAATGATTATAAAGATGAACAAAGAAATTGACTGGAGTGGGATTCGAACTCTGGCCTCTGGAACACCGTACCAGTGCTCTACCAACTGAGCTATCCAGCCCTATGTCGGTGGCTCTTCCCATGTGTCAATATCTTTGTTTGGGAGGTGCTAGCCAGAAGCCATTAAACCTGAAACATCATATCGCCAGGGATCGCGCCCCAATTACAAGATTAAAAAATGCATGTGCCTCCAAGGACATGGTATGCTTCCTGAAATGCCTTTGCCCATTATGTTACATCACGTGAAATACCTCTATGGTGAGCAGTAAAGAAGGTTTATGAAGGACAGTGGACGACTCTTGACATTTACCTAATTATGTATGTGACCTAAGATGCTAACATGTAGTGGAAGATTTTAAGAGGGCGAAAAGTAAGAGGGTTAACTGAAACGCAAAGAACATGCCTCTGACAGTAACAGAGAAGGAGCACTCTTGTGTATTGCCTCGGGCATCACTGGCGCTGTAGAATATGGTGTGAGACCCTTGGCCAAAGCGGCTGCCACTGGCGAGGCCTTGCGTCTGAGTGACTGTTAGTCCAGCCGGCACATTGTCAGTGGCTGTCGCAGAAGCCCAAGAGACCACGGCACTGGTCAGTCCTTCCTCGGCCTCAACGGAGATGGAGCTAGGACAGGTTATGTTTGGTGCCTGGGTATCTATCATTGAAGATGTCAAGAAATGAGCAATAACAAACAAATGGTGTAACAAACAAACAGTCTGATCTTATTGATGTTGCTACTTTGTAGGTTCAAATAAAGTCCGTGGCATATGTGTCCTTGGGCAGGATAATTTACAATTACAAGCTTTCAACCCTCCCTGTAAATGGTTATTAACGAGGATGAAATTAACAGACGTGTTTCAATCCATCCTTCGCATCAAACAATTACACAAATGAGCTTTGTGCCGTACTCTCACCTCTACAAGTTGGAGAGGTGTCCGACCAAGTGAGTGTGCAAGTTCTTGTGTAGGTGCTCCCCCCGGATGACAATCCAAAGCCCGAGTTGCAACGGAATGTGCACACACTGTTCCACCGGTTGCCATTGGTGCAGGTGATTTGTCCATTGGCGAGGCTAGTCAATGCTGGATTGCAGGTTTTCACTACAGTTCAGCCAGAAAAAAAAAAGTTCTGAATGCGTTATCATACTGGGAAATATTTGTGCCATATTCCGTCGAAATGTCAAGCGGTGAGGTACTGACCTGGGGGTTTCTGTAAAAAGTTGACCTGGGGAGTTTGCAGAATAACTAAAATTGGATCTCAAATTTTGATACATTGCAAGGTGCTCCAGAGTTGCCCAAGCTGCTAAAACTGGACCCCAGATGACAACAAACTGCTGACCTGGGAATGGCATTGTGGCTCTACCCTGGAAATCTGATACTTCCCTGGGGATAACAATTGGATGCTGACATGTAAATTTCACTGACCAGCTGCCCTGAAATTTTCAATGAGACTTTAGCTGACAATGGATCGGTGTGACCAGCTGACCTGGAAATGCCTGCGACCACCTGGCCTGGAGTTTTCAATGACTTGTGACCTGGAAATCTTAGTGAGATCCTGGCCTGGCAATCTTAGTGAGGTGGTCACCCCAGGATATGAGTTTTAGTATTGTCAAAGTGACTTTGTCTTGATTTGACTTTTGACAATTTGACAATGTTTCCCTTTACCTCGACAAGTCGGCAACCCACTAGTCCAGACTTCGCTGTTCAGACAAGTGGCTGTCGAGTCTCCAACAATATCGTACCCAGTTGAGCAGCGGAAGGTACAGAACGAGCCAGCGATGTTGGACTTTGTGCAAGTGTGAGACCGATGACTGCTTGATCCAACACCTGGACAACGAAGAACTACAGGGGAAGAAAAGTTCTCTCATTAATTATTCAATTCATTAGACTTTGATTTTACAACCAAAAAGAAATCTGATCTTTGTTCCGATTCATGCCAGTCAGAACCAAATTGACATCGACAAATATTGTTTAGGTTACTCAAGCTAACAAGCAAATAAACAGTAAACCAAAGGTAACTTGGTGACTCAAAGGCAGCTGAATCCTACAATGTGAGACACCATGCCCAAATGATAGCACTGGTCCCAGCTATAATAGGGGCCTGATGGGGGGGGGTTGCCTCTATGCCCCCCTTAATGAAACCACTGACCGGAAACCATGCAGGAAGAGGTCCATATACAGACTCCAGTAATTATTCCCTATAGTGACCCACTAGCCATCAGGATGCAAAATCATGTCCAGAAAAATTTACGAGGGCAAATACCGAGCTGTTTACTGAGAAAAAGACTTTTTTTTCAGACCAGTCTCACAGGGCTTGTGCACGAGGTGTCAAGTGCCATCCATATACAGAATTCTTCGAACCATGCAGAATGAATGCGGACTTGTATTTGCTAAGCATACCGCGGATGGTGATGCTTATCGAACAGTACGCGGTGTTCCCGGCACTATCCCTAGCCGCGTAGGTCACAGTGGTCAGGCCTTCATTGAAGCGACTTCCAGAGGCTAAGCCACCTGTGCGACTAAACAAATTAAAAAACACAGGTAAATATGTTGAGGAATTGCACCCAGTACCTAATGTCAATGACTGCATAGTCACTGGGTTAACACATCCTACAAGCACTGGCGGTGGAAGCGGGTGAACCAGAAGGGGCCAGTGGCCCCCCACTTATTCAACTGGGGGGCCTGGCTGCCCCACTTTCTGAACGTCCTATAATTGGGTGGAGCTCAACGGATTGAGCTATTAATGACTGATGCCTGATGGTCTAACAACTCCACCCCCTCCTACTTCGAAAATTGTCCGGTGCCTATAACTATCAAGCCCGATCGGGAAAGAGTTCCACTACTGTAACAGAGTACACTAATTTAACAGCGATCAGAGTAGGTTTTTTTTTAGACAAGTCTCATAGGTCTGTGCACAGGCATCAGGAGCATCAAGTGATGTCCGCGTACATGGAATTCGTCTCCTCTGATTGGTTCCAAGTGGCAAAATATGGGACCTATGCATTATCACTAATGTTAGATGGGGTGCTGTGCTCATTCATACAATCAACATAAGTGACACTGGTCAGTGAAACCATGGAGAAATAAAACACAATTTCTCCATGGTTTCACTGACCTGTGTTTTATTTCTCCATGGTGAAACTGATCAAAATTTTAACAAAAAGAGTCGAGCAATCCAGTTAGAAAAAGAAATTCCACAATACAAATGCCAATAATTATTCCCCACAGTGTCCCAATAGTCTTCAGAAAGCAAACACATGTCCAGAAAAGTTCATTTTAGGAGGGAAAAAACCAAATTGTTTACTCAGCCGAGAAAACACTTACCAGTCTTATAGGGTTTGTGCATGGGATGTCAAGTGGCGTCCATATATGGAACTCTTTCCCCAAAAACATAGAGGGGCTGCATGGATCGCCCTCACAAAGGACAGGTCTTTGTTCCTGTGTAATTTGCTTGAGTAGACACTATCCCAGTNGTATTCAACTGGGGGGCCTGGCTGCCCCACTTTCTGAACGTCCTATAATTGGGTGGAGCTCAACGGATTGAGCTATTAATGACTGATGCCTGATGGTCTAACAACTCCCCCCCCTGCTACTTTGAAAATAGTCCAGTGCCTACAACTATCAAGCCCGATCGGGAAAGAGTTCCACTACTGTAACAGAGTACACTAATTTAACAGCGATCAGAGTAGGTTTTTTTCAGACAAGTCTCATAGGTCTGTGCACAGGCATCAGGAGTATCAAGTGATGTCCGCGTACATGGAATTCGTCTCCTCTGATTGGTTCCAAGTGGCAAAATATGGGACCTGGTGACTATGCATTATTACTAACGTTAGATGAGGTGCTGTGCTCATTCATACAATCAACATAAGTGACACTGGTCAGTGAAACTGATCAACATTTTAACAAAAAGAGTCCAGCAATCCAGTTAGAAAAAGAAATTTCACAATACAAATGCAAATAATTATTCCCCACAGTGTCCCAATTGTCTTCAGAAAGCAAACACATGTCCAGAAAAGTTCATTTTAGGAGGGAAAAAACCAAATTGTTTACTCAGAAAACACTTACCAGTCTTATAGGGTTTGTGCATGGGATGTCAAGTGGCATCCATATATGGCACTCTTTCCCCAAAAATATAGAGGGGCTGCATGGATCGCCCTCAGAAAGGACAGGTCTTTGTTCCTGTGTAATTTGCTTGAGTAGACACTATAGTACTTCATTGTCTAGGCCTAAATAACAAACATATCTTCTGTGAGGGAGCTTGGATCCATCCATGCAGCCCCTCAGTATAATATGGAACAGTGACTTGTTAGGCCTAAATGATAAATCTAACTTTGAGAAATTCTCCTCTCAGTGACCAAATCACATTCTAAAACAGCCCCTGCAGCCGTTAAATTTAATAAAACCGACTGAGCGAGCTTGGGGAACACCCAGTAATATTATGACTGAGATATACACGGCAAACACAATCAACCCACGGTAAGGCCATTCTTTGAATTACCCGCCAGAACTGTGGGGCTTGTTGTCCAATCAACCCACGGTAACTGATGAAGGCCATTCTTTGGTTTACCCGCCAGAACTGTGGGGCTTGTCGTCCGCCGCGCTCCCTTCCGGGATTATCTCTGATCACAAACTTGTGCCACGCTTGTCACAGATTATTGCCCATGTAACAACAGCATGGACATGATATGATGATGGATAGGCCTATGCCAATAACTTGGACCCTACAAATCGCCTTTTTAACACAAATGTTAAAAATGAGAAATGTTGTAGGGTCCAAGTTACTCGGACCATGCTCGGACTAGTGACAACATAGAGCAAGGACATTGAACACAACATGACATAAACTCTTAAAAACTTACTAACCCACCAAGGGGGCGACTCTCAAAACGCTGAGCCCCCGACTTACAAACACAAGGCAAGTGAGAAACTCAATCCGAGACAAAGATGTCTTTGTGTCACGTGACAGAGTACAGGCATATTGGATCGCGCGATCACTCCGGAATGCGGCCACCTGTCGTATATCGAACCACCTGACACTATACTAAATAACCTGATCACTTCGGAATGTGCGCCCAGCCGTCTTGCATTTTACCAAGCTGTAGTCCCCCCGTGTATAAAACATTTTATTACTTACGTCTTTCTCTAACCGTGGAGGTGGAATGCTCTAACCTTTCACATTTCACAACCCTCTACACTGGCGCACCCACAAGTTTTGAGTTGACCCATGTAATTATATATAACAGGTTTTTGCCCTTACCCAACGTATATTAACCCATGTACAAATAACCGAAATCGCTAAATAAAGTAACTGTTTTTGAAAGTTCAATAAATCACCACTGTTGTTCGAGTTTACCTGCAACGTAAGAATATTTACCCAACAACAGTATAACAGGAACGGGGTACAAAACACTCCCATCAAGAGGCAATTGAAGAAATTATTGTTGAAAAGCATTTCTCGGTAATTATGGGACTCTCTTCCTTGTAAAGTTATTATTTCTGGCAAGCTGACATTTTTCATTTCTATGTACACTTAGTGCCAGAATTGGCCGAGCAATTCAGACTCATAACATCGATTGCCTTGGCTCGAAGAACGACCTTTCCATTTCGAAGTGGTTGTGCAAAAAGATGGGGGACTACAATTTACAAAGTGCAATGATTACCAGAACGTTATCAATAAAAAGGGTGAAAAATGGCATCAAGTACACCGTCGACGCCCCCGGTTACATCAGACTCATTACGTCACAGGTTCGCTCGTCGCCCAGCTCTTCACCGGCTCAGGGGACGAACACAGCGGCCGCTGGGCGAGTGAACTGAACAGCGAACGTGCACAGCCGGCCTGCGACAGTGACTCGACAGAGAGCGCAACTCGTGCTGGATTTCACGACGCACGTGGCCTACTTTGTTGAAACGGAGGTCGCACCAGAGAAGCCAGCCAGACCATGACCACCTCGACAGTCATACATTTCTGTACAAGACTGTTTGTCTATCCAACGGAAAATTATACTTTTCTGCAACCGCCAATACTTCTCTAAGCCTCTGTATAAGCCGTTATGTCTTTCTTCATTCAATACGCCCCAATTATGACCGAGTTCATGTTAAAAACATGCAAATAACGCTGACAAATCGACAAATAAGCTAATTAGGTCTACTTTTTTTCGTTCACATTCTTGAGGGGTAAATACCAAAATTTAATCGTCAAAATCTATACAAGAAGAAAGTAACGTTTGAGATGCAATAAAAACAATAACAAGGCGGTGCAATTTGATAAGCTTATGTTAACTTCAATACTTTAGTTCAACAATAACTATGATAATTGATGAAGTATTGTTTGCATTAAAAGTATATAAAACTAAAATTGAACTTAACGTTGGAAAAATTAACCATGTATCACATTTGAACAACTCGTTTTCTGTCGGTATTTTATTCTACGAGTGTAAAAGGTGATTTTTTTTAAGTGTCAAACTATTACTAAAATCATACACTTCTTTGAGACAATTTTTGTGGTTACTGGTTGGGTAAGGGAAAGTAATGTATGATGTCCGTCTACTTGGCTCCAATTTTCTCTTACCTTAAGGTGACCGATCCCCGGTTATCAGATGCACGTGGCGTGCCGTAGTACACCACCCGACGACCGTCCGCTTCGCTGGTGGTGTAGCTGTAGGGACCGGGGCAGAAGGAAAACGACGGCGGAGTGGTGTCTAGCGGACAGCCGAGAAAAACCCGCATTGTTTAAAGAAAAACTAACTGATGTGTTGAGTCGACAAAATAAAAATTTAGGAGGTTTTAGGGTTTGTGACTCCCGATTACGGGATCAAGGGTTCGAGTCCAGACGCTGATTATGCATTTCTGGCCCTGAGAAGTCTGGTTTAACCCTATATGCTTCTCTCTACCAAGAAATGGTCATCTGATGGGTTAGAGGTCGTAAGTGCGTTCTAATTGGCTGGCCAAACAGGTCTCGTATAGCCTGCGAGGCGGGGGTAATAAAAAGTTTAACTACAAGTGTCGTACCAGCAATATTGCTGGATGTGTCCATAGTGTACTTTACCAAAACACAATTTCAAGCTACGAGAAAATGCACTCGCAAAATTATCAAAGACTGAATAACAATCATAATGGGGATCATAACTCCAGCAGCCGGAATAAATTGATCACTGGGAGGTGAGATAATAGCTGAAAAGTACACGTGACGTCACGAGACCTCGTGACGGTGCGTATTCACCTGGAGGGGACGGGGAACGCCTTCGTCGTCTGCGTCTTCTCCACCAGCTCTCTGGAGGGAGAAAATACCAACAATGCCTTCAGAAAACAAAGACAGTGATTTGTTTTAGAAGAATAGTATTAGTAGGCCTACTCTAGACCAGATATTCGGATGCAACCTATGTAGGCCTATTCATAAATACATTTTCTGCAATTCAGTTTAGAATTCTCTTTTAGCAAGGCTATAGGAGACGATCTCTGTGATGATACACCTGGGTTTTCCAGTTCTTATTTTTAGAGAATCCCCATTGTCACTAGATTCAAGAGAAAAAAATGCATGAAAACAATAAACTTGAACATGTGAATCCTTTCCAAAAAATAATAAAAACCACCACAATGCAACAACTGTTCACAATACAATGCTAAAGTATTCGGGTTCCCACGGTCCACCAATTCTATCGATGTTTTATACCCTCAAGCTCACGGTGCATTCCCGGGGAAACCCCCGTGGTACCTCGGGTGTGCACCCACCATTAGACTGTACAATGTACTTGGTGTGGGAAAAAACAAAAACTTCCTGTACAGTGTAACTTTCAGGTATGACACAGGTGTTTGCTTCCACAAAACGAGTAAATAAGGAAATCATATTGTTGGTCCAATACACATAGTCCTTAGAAACATATGCTACAATCATGCGTTACCGTGCATGAGTTATACTAGGGGTTAGAGCACCGAACATCGGGCTGATGTCTGTTCGTCGTATAAACATGCACATGTGACACCCACCAATATCGAAGGGGCATCTAATTTCAGATATAGGTTATTTTTTTAGACTGCAGGACTTCATTCACCACAGAGTATCCCAAAATTACTCTTGCATTGTGCAAGGTAATAAGTCAGGGTAGCAACAAATACAGAGTTGGGCTGGCTTTTTCACTTGCATGGAACTAGTTTTACCCGAAAGTGGCATTTAGAAACAGTTGTAAAAAAGCATGTATTCAGGTGTGAGGTCCTAAAAGTGTTCGTGAGTTCACTGACAAACTCCAGAAAAAAAATAATTCTATTTCGACGTGCTATACAACCGTCGATATTTCTCTTCGATAAATGTTAGGTCTAGGCCAAACCATTGTTCAACAAGCCATGAAAAATTTTAACAAAAAACAAGCCGAATTTACCTGCAGGAGCTATCAGAAGAAGCAGAATCAAGGAAACGACAACCAGAGTCTTGACATGCATCTCGGGGACAGTTTTTATTCCGTTCCTCTCTAGGAAATGAAATGCCAGAAACTGGCTGCAAACCAGTTGGCACAAAGAGCGGAGCGAGACAGGTTGCACCCGTTTGGACCCGCCAAATCTGGGCCCAGGCCTCCTCTGTGAGCTTCTTTTTCACCGAACTCGAAATACTATCCGTTCCAAGACCATTCAACGGTATGTACGAGTAAAGCGATACTTCTCCGGGGGTCGAATGGGGTTTTCCCAGTCGGGTCCTCGAAACGGTGTGAGGTAACTTGCCGGCTCTCTGATTGGCTCGAACGGGCTCAGATCTCAGTTGGGCGGCTACACCCAACTTGGCTTGTTACCACTTCATATTAGGCAAGCATACATTAAAGAGACAGCCTCCCCTCCAGTCTGTGCTACAGACAAGTCACCTTATATTCGTTCTGAAATTGGATGATTAAGAAAGGTTAAGGATAAGTATAACGTTGTGCATATCAAAACAAAATGTTCATTGACGAGATAACACAATCTGCTCGACTCCAGCCATTTACTTCCTCCACGCTCCACGGAGAAGACCACCATGCTATCAACAGTTAAGGGGAATGGCTTGTTGAGGGGAGGGAGGTCAGAAAATATCTCCCAATCAACCCTTCCCTCTGCACAGCCCCGCTTGTCGCTATTTTTACAAAACACATTTTTCAGCGAGTGTCAATATTTCAAGTGCATGACGTGACCACTTAAAAGCCTGGGGGTTGAATCCGGGTCAGAGGTCAAAGCTTCGGCGGGGAGGCATACTTCTCAAGACTGGAAAGGTATGTAAATATCCCAGCCAACAACAGATAAAAAATACATGAAAGTTATGAGGGACTTTCGCTTTCACTTTAAAACTTGGCTGATACCTAACTTCAAGCTCTTTGGTCAGAAACTCTCATCTCAACACTGCACAGGAATTCTTTCTTGAAAAGTTTCGAATTGGTGCATAAATTTGAGGGTCCCGTTAAATGTAAACAACGGTGTTTATTTAACACGAACATGCACATGAAGGTTTATTTTGCAGAAGGGTGTCTGGGACTCGGTGAAGTGGTGTCAACCAACAGTATATTTACTGTCTGGTCATACGGCGCGTCGAAACTCAAGCTGAGACACTTGAGCGGCGCTCTAGTCATCCCAGTGAAAAAAGGCACTAATTTCCCCTGTTTATTTAATTAGGCCTAAAATTTTGGAGACGATGCATGCGTGCAGTGTATGCCTTTTGACCCTAGACCTTTTATTTCAAGTTAAAGAAGCTGTTTCTTACGAGTAACCTTCGTTTACAGTTTCACACACTGTCAAAGCATTATCCAATAGGTGACATCTTCAGCGAGGATGGGCAGGCAGTATCAGACCTCCATGCTTCAAAGAAAACTGACATTGAAATAGCGAAGTTAAACTAAACCAGTGCTGCTGATGTAAGACTGTATGCAGTACACCTCAGAAAAACACTAGACGACGCAAGTCCACCATTTTGTGGTTGAAATGAATAAACTCGACATTTTCTCCATTGTTATAGTGTAGTTATTATCAATACACAATACATGAAACTTACTACGCAGATCCCAAATCCAAACAATCCTTATCGACAATAAACTACAATCCTCTCTTATGGTTACAGGAGACATTGTCGTCCATTTGTGTTTGCCCCAAATTATGAACAACGTGTTTATTTTCCCTCTCAGGCTATGAGACGTCCTGTTATTTGTAATTCAAAATGAATGCAGTTATAACTCAGTATATTCGAAGTTATTTGAAATTTTCAATACCTGCGGGAGCTATTAGGAGCAGAAGAATCAATGTAAAGACGATCAGTTGACTGAAACACATCTTTAAGTCCAGCGACGAAAAAGCTCCAATGAAGTATTTTGATCGCGGTTGAAAGAACCATTGAAGTGCTGCTACCAGCGCTAAGCACGGAGCAAATTCGACAGTGAAACACGTCCCTTCGGACAGGACGGGAATTTCCCTATCGATTTGGGCGAAGCTGCTATGAGGCTGTTCCTTCCGGCTGTAGGCCTATAACTGATTCAAGGTCTTCGTTGTTTAAGGTATAATTAATAACAAGGTGCAAACGCCGAATAAACGGTACCGGTAGCAAACCAACCGAGGGAATCACCGTTAATGTGTTTAATGACCGAACACCAGAAACAGGGACGTGGCGAAGGCATTTTCTTTGGGGTGTGTGCAAAAGTCATTTTGCCGACCTGTAACTTGCTCGCAAACCTCGTGTCGTATAAAGTTCACTTTATGCGGAGTGGACATATTGAAGTTTGGAAAATAAATATCCGTGGAACGTTACATTTCATGCTTCAGGGGAAATGCCGACGGCCAACGTAAATTTATGTACCAAATTTGGATTCATTTGCCGACCGAAGCTCTATTTGCCGACCGGAATTATTTATTGGGGGGTGCCGTACCCCCCACATCCCTGGTCGCTATACGCCCCTGACCAGAAGGTCATGGTGTTTTCTTCCATGGTAGAGCTTACACAACGGGACACAAGGCTAGAACCGCGGGGACACGAGACACTCAAAATTGTAGTTTAAGGGTGCAGTCCACCAATCCTTTTGAAGGTGAAGTGAGAATTTACGGCGTGAAAAGTGCCCCTATGGTTTCTTTTGGAAAAGGAGATTCCTTGACCCCCAAAATGGCGAGATTGTGTAAATCTTTGCCACTAGGATCAGCAAGCTTGCGTCTGAGAGCACAATGAATGAAGAAAATACGACTGCAAATGATCTAAGTGCTTAAGAAAGTAGAATCATTTTAAGTATAGCTGCGTGTGGACTGGGCTTCCCAGGGGGTGGTGGTTTTGTTTTGTGTAACCAAAAAAATTGGGGAAAATCTTGAAAGATAAAAGGGACAAGACAATAATTAAACTTTTGTTTCAGAACCTCAGGGATGCGCATGCTACTGAGCCCTGAAAAATGTTGATTTTTACATTTTTTTTATCATGGCTTGAATTAGTGCACTTTATAGGCAACCCGAAGGATCTCCAGGCAGTACTTGGTGTGCGCGTCACCCGAAACATCTCTTCCGCAAAACCGACCGAGAAACACAACCAATAATGTGGGGGGGAGGGGAGGTCAGTCCTGAACAATTGGAATCCAGAGGCCGGGGTCGAGTGTCAGTTCTCCCCATGAAAAGCGACACAGCAAATCATTTCCAGCGACGGTTGCCTTCCATGATAACAGATTTAGCACACCAATTCACTTTAAGGACCACGGGGCTGAAAGTCTCGTCGATGAAAGTGCTGCCTCGTATCGTAGTCGTCATGGATTTCGTGGGTCATGGGCATTTTTGGTTGTTCATTTCGAAACCAGATAAGGTACCCAAGATCTAGTAGAGTGCTGTCAAAGATCTGTCCTGAGCTGAACTTGCCTTTATAAACTTTAATCGCCAGGGCCGTTTTCCAATACTCAACTTCGGCTCAGGCTTAAACTGTTTTTTACTAGCTGACTTTGAAGCTGTAAGCGCAGTAATCAGTCTAATAGTGCCACAGAACATCAAATAAGATGCAAGAGAGCTAAAACTCACAGTAATCATAGAGGAAGGACTCCAACTTGATTTAAACGCTTCAGGTCCACAATCGGGGATCGGTTTCGGGGACGAAGCTTGAGACGGAGTTGAGTATTGGAAAAGGCCCAGATACAGATTATATTGTCATGAGCTTGAGTATGGATATAGTCTTAACTCCTGTCTCCCAAGGCATTTCTACAATGTTGAAGTGCCAACGGTTTACATGTGATATATGGCTGCAAATGGAACGGTTTATCACATTTCATAGTACGTGTGTGGCTATGACGTTACATTGTGTGTATAGGCCTAATACTACTGTCTCTATGTATTCCACCCAAATGAGTTCATCGATTCACTAGCCCTGACGGAAACCTGACATACACAAGCAACTAAAAGAAACCACTAGTCCGAAAAGTTCGTTGTTTGAGTTGGCTGACAACTTTGTTCCCGAAGACAGAGAAAACTGAACTATGTCTGGTAAACTTACGTGAGCGTGACTCTTCCTACGCCACCGGTAGTCGTTGGGGTTGAGTAGGTGACCACCCGACGACCGTCCGCTTCGCTGGTGGTGTAGGTGAAGGGGCCCGGACAGAAGGAAAACGATGGTGGAGGGGCTGGCGGATGACACGAGAAGATATTTGAAATCTGGTACCTACACAATTCCCTCGTACCCATGTATGAAGATCCATGCATGCTTAAACACGGCTTGAAGACCTACACATCCACTAAGTTCGCTCCTATATGGTTCGACAAAGTCGGCAATCATGACTTTTATTCCGTAGCCGACGTGGCAATAAACGCTCGTCATAACAACTGGATCAAACATGCTGTCGGACAGAGCAATGTCCCCCAAACTCAGTGCTAGTTTGCCTAACAAGAAATTATCCCCTTAACTCGGTAAAGGGCTGCCCAAACTGTCCATACCGTGAGGTTACATGTAAAAACCCTGCCAAACCTCCTTCCGCTTCATGTGAAAAAGTTTAATTGATTGAAGAAAAATATGGCACCTCGCTGTGTCCTTGGACGCCAAAACGGTAAAAAAATGTTTTACCCTAGAACTCAAACAGGCTCCTCTTGGTTCCTCATAGTTCTGGCTAGAGATGTCTGTGGTTCACTTGATAACCGGATGCAGTACTGGACATATACCAGTATGGTCATCGGAAGACACGGTTCTTATCGGGGAACTTTGGGATTGGGATATCAACAATTCCGATGTCGATCAGGTCTTTATTTTCGCATCGGGAGCCTACCTCCTTTTGCCCCCCCCCCAAGTCTATAAACATGTCGGAGTCCAATTCCCTAGCAAACACCACCCACCCAATACCAAAAGAACCTAACTTGAACAAGTCTACCGCAAAGCTATGTTGTGGAAGTATCACTGAATTAACGATTGAAAGCCTGAAAAAAGTCGAAACTTCTTCCCACTTTCCAAGTTCGGTCTAAGCGGACCGCATTTCGGCCAAACGATGGAAACTGAGATCACTCCAACTTACGAGGAGGGGGCGGGGATCTCCGCCGTCTGCGCCTTCGCCTCCAGCTCTCTAGAAATTCAATGAACAATCCAAGTTATTTCAATATAAAAGACGCACCGACAAATTGCTATAGTTAGGACAAGGTTACATGGCGTGCAATTTTTAACTGTGTGTGATGCATGCTGTGTCAATTTCGGTACTGCATCGAGTTTACTGTTTAAAAGGTTTCGTTTTTCGCCCCAAGGCGAGCGGTGCGAAGAATGATTTAAGTTTATCAACATTCTGTTTGAGACTGTTTGAGACGCTGGAAATTCAAGTTGTCTTGTAGCAGGCACAGAAACATTTAACAGAACAGCGTCAGGTCATTGTTTGATCGCCCCAATATTGTACAATTTCGTTGAGTCGGGTTGAATTGACGTAGTGTTCTCTTCTTGCCTTCCATATCTGTGGACTGGGTTCGAATCCCGACTCGTGGTCCACATGTTGATTGAGTTTTCAGTCCCTGCCTGATTCTGTGGGTTTTACCCCGAATATTCGCTTGCGCTTTTGAGGAATCCTTGGTGTTTTTACCAGAGATAAATAATAATGATATAATTCAGTTTCTCTTCACACAGTTATTATTTAAATCAAATGTAACTCACCTGCTGGAGTGAACAGAATGAGCAGGGTTAAGGAAACAACAACCACGGTACTGAATCTCATCTTTCCGCCTGTGCTTCACAGGATCCAAAATTCTAGAAGAAATGAAACAACCCGATGACAGAGCGTTTCATATGGCCCCACTTCAGAGCACTCGGCAAGTCCCCAGCATAGCAAGCCTAGTGACTTCCAACCGCTGCAAGTCACAACTGAACGTTTTTGTTCCCTTGTCATTATTTTATAACCCCTGTTATTGAGATCAAACTTGGAATGTCCCATGGCAGGTTTCAATAAGCCTGGAGAAAATATAGCGATCACTTTCAGGAAGTTGACAGGGGCACAGGATTGTTCCTGTTGGCTGCCACTTATCTGAAGATAGACTCGGTGGCAACTTCGTTCATGTGTTTTGTCCAGTGAAGTTTAGCCGAAATCATCGGCGTAGCTCCGGTATAACATAGGCCTAAGCAACATACTTTAATTGGCTAAGTTCGACTTGAGTTATCCAACTACTTGACAAATAAGATCTCGCACCATTATTAAGGTGCCTTTCCATGTGCGTTGTCTGGGTGCGTTGCGTACACGATGCGTTCATTCGTTTCACTTTCATGGACACCAAAATCGACCCATTAGCATAACACACGTGTACGTTGCGTTTGGCTCTCAAAATCGCCCAAGGAGCGATTTTGACGGATACATGTATGCAACGCTTGGTACTGACGTGCACAGGGCAAGGCATCTTTATGCATACAGGTAATACATATGCAATGCAGTTCTGCGGTGACATCCAATGGCATGGCGCACGCGGTTCTATGCAAATTAGGATTTATCTATAGTTAAACGGAGCATATTGTGAATCAGCGTATTTTATCCAAAATGTACCAGTATACAGTATTTTATTTATTTTTGATTGTAATCGCTTATGACTCTATGTTTATACCCTATAATACGGGTGACACCCAATGGTGCGCCACCAACAGTTTGCAATGCGGTGGCCACTGTGGGCAATGCGCGTTTGAATGGCTTGACACCATTGATCTCTATTATAACGACATAATGGAGATCTATGGTTGATACATCTGGACGTGTCGACCGGTGATGCGGGTCTGAAAAGGGTCGACTTATTTCGCGCATTACGATGGCCAACGCATTACAAACTCTTGGTGGCGCACCATTGTGAAACGCTCGTTCTACTGTAATTTTGTAATGTGTTATCAACAGTGCACGAACCCTCCAAGTAATTATAATGCGCGTGGTCATATGGTCTTCATTTGGTCAGCATGTACCAAACGGAACCAATTAGAAAATGACCGACTTGCATGCCAGATCTTTTTAGCGAGTTGAATGTGTCTTTACCGTTAGGGACAATACATCAAGGTTATGGTTGCATGCTCAGGCTTCACGGTACCTATCCCCACTTCCCAGTAGATCGAGAAGAAGCGCATCTACTAGCTTCCATTGACTCGGGTTTAACCTCGTCACCACAGTCCGCAGCCCAGGCATAGGAGAGCTTTCTGCTGGGTAACAGGTCATTCCTGGCCGTTCGCACGTAGCTCAAGTGTGCCGTCAATTTTGCAGCGATTTCTGTCTCGCAAAGCCGTAGGACAAACATCCGTCTTGATCGGTGTTTGTGAGGCCAACTTGGGAAACGCCGGGCCTCGCCAGGCAGAGGATGTGGCAAAAATTGACCACACCCGTGCCTTGAGCTGAGCAAAAAGCTACGAATGACTTTTTAAGTTTTACTCAGCAGATATCGTGTTCGATGGGCTTTCTAGCCCTACATAGAGTTCAAAGGAACACTTACTTTGTACCGCCTGATACATCAACCTCCTGCGGGGCTTCGTAACTATGAGGGCTGGAAGTCCATGCTTTTTGAAATGCTCTTCTTGTCGGTGGTGCAACGTTTAATATCACCCTGATATCTCACGCACATCCAAACAACACGTCCGAGAGTTCTGGTCGGTACTTCTGACAAGGTGCCGTTGTTTCAATGGGCGGCCATTGTGGCGTTTGCTGCCTAGTCACAAAACATCAAACCGAAGCATTCGAGCAAATGACCATCACCAAAGGACCCAAGGCCATTTTGCTGAATGGAGTCATCGCTGGAGGATAGTCACGCATGACGCAGGGCTTGAAAATTAGTATATGACCAAACTGATCGATGTCGATAATTGCCCGGTATCCAGACCTTTATGGGTTTACCTTGGGCAGGTACTATGGGGAAATTTAGATACTGTGAAATTACCGACTCCTTGAGCACTGCAGATACGCTCGAGGTGATGAGGAATAATAGGTACCCAATTTCGAGACTACACATATCGTAAGATACCATCCCACCTGTCCAAGCCAACCACCAGAAATATTTCTCATTATACCATTTGTTTGAAAGGAAACCAAGGTACGCTAATCTAACTCTTTAGGCGAAAGTTATTTAAGTGAGGGTTGTTGAACTCTGAACTAGTCCCGATTTCTTCAGAACCCCTGCGCCAGAGGTAATGATTTCAAATGGAGCTCCATTGCGTCTACACGTCTGTCATCAACTTTAAAGCTCTTTCATCAGCTAAAACTAGACTGCCCGCTTACCTAAGTTCAAAATACTAATCACGAGCTAGTTTATTTCGTCAGGTTTTCATATACATCGACCGACTTTCATTTAATGTGCATACAGTAAATTACAGCACATTGAGAATTCCCTAGAAATTTACAGGAATAAGCTAGTTGGCAATGTACTGTGTCAATAAAAATGCGGTGGAAACAGTCAAGAAACTTTCTTTCATATTTGAGGAAAATGGCAAAATTCTAACGGAAGCTGGAATTCGAAAGAAGAAATACACACCACTGCCTGACAAACTTTCGTAAATACTGCATAGATTTCGGCCACAAAATGGGTCCCAGTTGTGTCAGCGTCCGGATATTACGACTGGGGCTGGATACACACGTGTACCCATGAAAGCTGCCGGTGTCCAGCGGCAGCAGGATCTCCCACCAGTCATCCGCGCATCATGACACATGGAAGCCCTTTTGTGTCCACAGAGACAGAGAATCCTCATCGCAGATAACTAGCTTCTAGCACACAAAGTAGGAATCTTTGGCATTGATGGAGCTACCAAGTTTTTTTTTTTAAGATACAATGTAATTTTTCCTTGAGCAAATGGCATTTCTTAAACTTTTTTATTTTTGTAATGAATTATGGTTCGTACTGGAGGATGGCAAGTAAACGCAAGAAAATGAAACAAAGAGGGCTGCTTTTGTCGTAACAAAGAAAACTATTTGAAATAGCGGTTAGGCCCTACAAATTTGATCGACTGGACTTAACCGAAAAATCACTTCACTAGTTCTCTACAGTAGTCACACGAACTCTTTTGCTCAGCAGGGAGCCTGGAATGAAGGGTTTTGTCATGAAAAAAAAACAGCCGCCTGTTAAAAAGGTTCAAACTTTGCAAGCCTGCGCAAGGAACATCAAGAATCAACCATTCCATGGCCATAACACCTGTCGGTGCAAGAGGCAATTAAAACTTTTGGCCAGCTTTTGGGGCCACCAACTGATCAAATGCTATGGCCATTCCATCCAGCATCTTGTGTCGTCAGTTTTCGAGAAAGCATGTAAATCTTGCTTTCACTGAAGGCACATTCAGCCAGAGTATCTAGGAATACAAGCCCAACAAAGACAAAAAAGAGGCCCTTAAGTCTTAAAAATCAATGTTTTCTAAAACCCTTTAAAAATGATAGCTACTACAACTCATTCTAAGTATTGCAAAAAGAGCTTTTGTACTTCAAAACAATAAAATGGTACACATTCAGATATTTTATACATCATAACAAAAAAGCTAAAATTCAAAGAACTGGCTTCATTCTACAACTTTCAGCACCATAACAAATACTGTTCACAGCTTTTATTTCTTAGTAAACCAAGTCAGACTGGCACAAGCGCGGTGGTGTGACCTGGAAAACTTTTGCCCAACTGAACCAGGAAGGAAATTCATCCATGAGCCCAATGTTTCAACGACATTTGGCTTCATACAATAAGATCTGGGAAATAAATTAACGAGGGGACAGAGGGAAGAAGGACACAAACAAATCCTGTAGATGACAGGAACTGAACGGTTTGAAGGATGTCCACACTGGAAACCGTAAAACAAAAAGCTTGATATCGAAAATTAGGAATTGTTGAAATGGTTTGGGAAAGACCAAATTTTTCTCTAATTGAAGCTAAACAGCCGTTCATCAGGTAAAAATGTCAACCCGTAGTACCTTTATGCCCAAAAGGTCATTTTTACACCAATGATCACAAAACATGAAATTGTGTCCAAAAGCTGTTTAGTTTGGTTTATAAACAATTAAAAATGGAGTTCAACAGTTGTACACCTGTGTGTTACTTTCCACGGGAAGCATGATATGATTATCAGAGATATGCAAACTAAAGACTGATTAAATCTGGATGGTTTAGGAGTCAAATACCCTGCTCTGACGGTCAATAAATTAAAGACTGTAGAAAACAATAACAACAAAATATCTCAGGAGGAAGTCTGCAGCTCATCCTAATACAATGGTATCATGTATCCAGTCTGCTGCTTCTGTGTTCAACCAGCCAGTCCCCATTTGCGATTTCGCCAGACTAAAATTACCTCCAGGTAAAAAGACATGGAGGAGTCTCGGTCACCAGACTCTTGTTGTAGGCTCTGGAGACAATGGGAAAATGGACTTTGCATGTGACCAAGAGAAGGCGCTTTGCTACCTAGCAACAACATCCCTTGGGGCTGATGCATTGCGTTGAGTACGGCCAAATTGACCGTGCACAGGGTTTCTTGGTGAAACTCGGGTAAACGGTGATGACTGTGCTCACGTATTGGCCCAGCCTCTCTCGTTATGACTGGTGAGGGCATGGCTCAGCAAGCTGTCTTTAGAAACTCTTTTTTGTTCACTGCACACATGCATAGTCCACTTGGGAGAGTGCTGTCTCTCTTCGGGGCGAATTGGTGCCGACACTCAGTCTCAGCGTTCAGTCAACGCCTCATTTAGCCACGCTGGTACGGGCTGGTCAATGCCGGATAGGAAAGCCTCCAGCTGGACGTTGAAACCCTGGTAATAATGCCGGAGGTAGGTCTCTGTGTCGACATCCATGGGAGGGTACTTACGACCTTTACTCTTGCCAAGGCATCGCGTGTGACCCTTCTTGAAGACGGGGCAGTAAAAGCCCTTCTTATCGTCATAACTGTGGATGAGCAAATGGAGACAACACGTGGAGAGTTGGATGATGTTGACACTACATGCGATTTGTGAATGTCTAAAAAACTTCACTGATCGAGAAAGTCTTGTTAAAAAGGCAATTCATCTTTGAACCATTTAGCAATTGGTTGGCAATGTTTCTCTTAGAATATAGTGCTTTTGCTTGTGGGAACAAGCACCTCAGGCTAAAGGCGGCAGATTTCACAATTAGAAATCTTTTCAAGATGGTAATTTTTTCTACAAAATATTCATCATTTTGGCTTTACTTACATAATCTTATCACTGAAGTCGACAACCTCTTTTAAACGTAGAAATTTTTGGATTTTCAGCATGGCAACAGTAGGATCTGCCCTCAACAAGTCGCCATCCAACACCATCAACTATTTGAGAAAAAACATTAAGAATTTTCTTGTTTAACACAGCTGAGAGCATGGTTTCAAAGAGGTGTGTGACATCTCATGATTCAGCTAAATTTTCACAAGGCATGCACGCAGAGGGTGAATTTTGACCCTCCAAGTGCTGGTATTTTATTTGCTTTTAATCTAATACATAAAGGTGACAGGAAGTGTTTTTGCATACAATGTGACCATTTGGTTCAGACAAATATTGTAAGTTATTTGAAATGTACGATCTGGAATGTAATTTTACTTGTTACTTTTACTTATTACTTTATATTTGGGTCATTCCATGACGGTGGGGCACAATTTGTGATGGTGTCCTTGTTACATGGGTAACTTTTACCACCTGTCTGACCTGTAGAGCTGGTCATTTTTTTCTATAGAAATAACGCACACCTGTGAATTCAGCCTAGCCCGATGTAAAATAATGTCAACTTGGAATCCACGTGCAAGGAAATACAGTAAACCCCGGCTAAGTCGGGACTCTCGGGACTCAAGAAATTATGACGACTTACGCGAATGCCGACTTCTGCTGTAAGTCGTCATTTTGCTGACTTACACATACACATGTATTACCTATGTACATTATGATTCCTTTGACTAATTCAATGGCTTGGATTTACTCTGGTTTCTTTCTACCTCCATGGTTGATCCCAGCAAATTCGTTCTCGATTATTATCCTCACGGGCTGCAAATTCGATAATTGATCATGTGCCCCTAAGGAGGAAGCAAGGACGGCAAGCCACTTGCATATCACATCACGACTCGAAAGTGCAGTACATATGTATGTGATACAGTTACGGTACAGAAAACATACACTCATCCACACACGCGCATTGGTTAAGTTCGTTCCATATAGTCTGGATACCAGACCCAATGATTCTGACTACCCGGCGAATCATTATCAAGGGTCGTCAGGGAATCTTTGGGCAGGGAACCAGACTATGTTCAATAAGGCGACCCCCAAAATCAACAGAGCGCATGCATGTAGCACTAAAGGGGTTACTGGTATTGATGTACTCATGCTGGCCGATTATCAACCCCGACCTGCGCTGCTAATAAATGGACATTAGTCAAGCAATGTGGGACTTGTTACTTGACACTTCTTGGCAACCGTGGCGAAGGAAACTAATACCCCAGCACGATTTTTTTAATGCAGACTTACTCAAAGGAATTTTTGTGGTTTTGTGGAAAAGGGACCAAGAAAAACATGCCGACTTACGTGAAATGACGACTTATAAATGCCGACTTAGAAATGCAATTCTCAATGCATTATAGACGATTGGGACTTTTGTCAAAAGGCCAACTTAGACAATACGATGAATTACGTGATGCCGATTGAGTCAGAGTTTACTGTAGCTGTTCATTTTTTTGGAACCCATGTAACAATTGACACAAATTGTGCCCTAAACCTCATGGAATGACCCATTCTCTCCTTGGATTTTTCCCCTCGTTTATCGTCATCTAACCTGGGTGGGTGGGTAGAACTCAAGCCATCTCTGTAAGTGCTGGATGTATTTGCCCGGATCCAGGCACCGGTTCCGCAGCAAGGCTACCGGTCTCGGTGCCTCGAGACCTGATGTCAAAACCTCGTGAAATGTGTAGTTCATGCTAGCCGGGTTCTCATGAGCTCTCTCATGCTGTTAGGAAGAAATCATGGTATTCGAGATGGTATCTAGTGTATGTCCATAACTAACTGAATGGAACTTTATAGAATTGTAGAAATCAGGAAAAAAATGAATATAAATGGCTTTGAAACTGATACAAGCATTGGGAATGAAGATTAAAACGGCTCCGATAGTTTAGTCAGTAATTCTGAACAATAGAAAAAAAATGATTCCTTGAGACCGCGCCCACAAAATTTGTCCTTTTTAGAAGTGACTCTATTGTTACACAGCGTATCCCTTTGACACTCTACCTATGGACACATGTATAAGGGCTTTTGTACACAGGTAAGGAGAACTCTCTCTACTGAACCCATTTCTGAAATCTTGGCTAAGTCTCTGGCTGGAACTATTGCTCCAGATTCGTTTCACAACCCAACTTTGATCAAGTTGGCCACGTTTGATCAGCAACATCAGTCGTCTGCCAGTTAATTTCAATTGGTACCCTGGTAAGATGCATTCTGTGCACAGGTTACCAGGCAAAAATATTCAGCCACAGAACCTGGCCTTGTTCAACTGAAATACTCTCAAGTCTACACTGACGGGACTGGTTAGATTAGAACTCAGTTGAGTTTAAGTCAGCAAGGGACTTGAAATTATGCAGCAGGAATCTGAAGCCAAAGTCAGTGACAAAGTTGAATTTTGGGCAACACCCATATCTGACTGAAAACTTCAAATTCTGTCATACCTGGTACCACGAATAAGCCCTCTTGGCTGGATCAATCAATATCGCAATGAGTTTGGCCTTTGGGAGAAGCCAATGTGCCCGGCGTGGTGCATGTAAGTTGTCAAAGTATGTTGCGCTCTTCTCAAACAGTACGTCAGCTGAGGTATTGTCAACTTGTGGAAAAAAATTCAAATACCTGAAAATGGGAAGTGAGAATTAGCAACAATCAATATGTGATCAATGGTCAATATTGAGCAAAGATCAATAAATTCATTTCTCAAGAGATTTTATTTTAGCCACTTTGCGCCGCGCCTATTTGTTGGTGTTGATTCTACTGGGCTGGGTGATTTTCATTTTTTTCTGTTTAATCTTTAAAAATCCCTAACTTCATTTACTAGATGATTATACCCACACAAATGACTGTCTGGTGGCTACTCTAATCTGACAGACACATCTATTCACACACGAATATTTCAGCCAGGCCTGCCGCCTTGTAAAATGAGCCCAGATTGTGCGGTGGTATGTAATTTTCTTTTGTTCCCGAAACCAGCACAGTGCACTGCTGACATCTTTTCAATAGGGGCCTGGTTAGCATACAGCGCTATTGTATTGCTCATCACTGGAGGTGGTAATCCGCTCTCGCGGAATGCCACAAACAGTGGTATAATGTTTCAAAACAATGACAGATTTCCTCCCCTATTGACAACTGAAAAAATGTTGGAAATTCCCAGAAGCTCTGTCTTTTGTTTCGAGTACGGTCTCTTGTTACAAGGCCCAGCTGTTTTGTCTGGTTTTGGGCAGCCTGGCATTACGTATAAAGAAAATGAACCCAAAACTGGGCTCCCCAACGCAAAGTGGTTAAAATGACAGAGATAATGTCTCTTTATCAAGACATATCCACTCACCATTCTAGTCCTTTGTTATAATTCTTGGAGTTTGAGAAGAACTGAACTTCTTCAAAAGTCTCCTCACTGGGAAGGTTACTCCTGATGTTGGGATGCAGCGACAGAAATGTATACAGTGCAGTGGTCCCTGGGTACAGGGAACCAACAGGACAGTCAAATTACAGTCAAAAACACTGAGGTCATTTTCAGATTTTGTGGGATGGGGAGAGGAGATGGGGTTACTGCTGATACCCTTCTGACCATCACAATAACCAAAAAGACCATCATCAAAAGACCAAAGCATGACCTCTGGTGTGGAGGGAGTCAAGTCACAAGCCGTTTGAATGAACTGCAACAAAAGCATGCCTACGTCATATTTCAACCTGTTACTTGAGGTTGGTCTTGGGCCTGGTCTCGGGCCGGGTCTTGCGTCTGGTCCTGTGCATGGTCTGGTCTTGTGCCTGGCCTTGTGTCTGGTCTTGGGTCTGTTCTTGGCTCTGGTCTTGTGTCTGGTCCTTTACATCGTCTTGTGTCTGGTCTGGTCTTGAGTCTGATCTTGTGTCTGTTTTTGGGCTGGTTTTGTGTCTGGTCTTTTGTCTGGTCTTTTGTCTGGTCTTGGGTTTGGTCTTGGGGGCTGGTTTTGAGTCTGGTCTTGTGTCTGGTCGTGTCTGGTCATGTGTCCAGCCTTGTGTCCGGCTTCGTGTCTGGTCTTGGATCTGGTCTTGCATCTGGTTTTGTGTTGGTCTCCACTACATCTAGGTTAAGAGCATCAAAGAACTGAGTCCGACAGTAGTATTTAAACCAATACCACAGTGTTAACAAGATGACATTTGACCAGATTTAAAATTGCTAATCTCGTAAACATCGTCATATTACCGCAATCTGTTTATAAGGGCAATACAATCCAAGAAACATTGTAAGGAATGCATTCTGCCAAATTTCATTTCACTACTGATGTGAGTCTCGACAAATACCTGTTTTTTGTGGTCCAATCACAAGGAAACTTGGAAGGCGGTGACAGTTCTGCTTTTCGGGCAGGATTTCTAAGTGACGTTTGTCGTAGCACGGGTTCTGTTAAAGATGAGGGAAAAAGATGATATTGTTCAGATAACGTTTCAAAGACAGCAACAAGTTTTTCTTTTCTTCGCCCTATTTTAAAGAGATACTTTTCGTTCAGTCATCAAATTAAACTTAAGTAGTGATAGGTGCATTTGAAATGTTGCTTCCTACTCACGGTCCAAACTGGTTCTCGTTCCTCGGGGAACATATCAAAGTACTTCTTGGCCAGCTCTAGCGGCGGTGCAGCTTTGAGTCTCAGGTTGGTCCATTTTTGCACAAAGCTGATGACGTTGTCAAACGTGTACAGAGCCAAGCGATCGCTGCCATAGTTGGTCATGTGAGTCATATACACGTTAATCTGCGGGGAAACGATTTCTTCCAGCATTTCATGAATTACTCCTAACACACATTGCACAAAGCTTTGGGTCGGGAACGGCAAAATAAAGATTCTTCTTTGAGAAAGTAACCCCGAATTACTCTATCCATCAGAATGTTTACCCTATTCAACAAATGTAGTTTTCTTCTGTATCTAACGGCAATGATTTACTTTTACTTTTGTAGTGCCACGAGCGCCTATTAGGTAGATTAGGGCGCTTTATAAATGCTCATTATTATTTACGTAAAAGATGTTACAATTCTTAACACAAAAATGACCCAGTGCTTACACTGTGTACACCTCTCTTAACCCTTCCCGGGGGGAGGGGAACACTGCTAGTGTGTCATACTATTTGTCAGTCTTACTGGGTTATCGACAATAGTCTGGAACAGCTCCCCTCCGTAGATGCTACCATCTAGTCTCTCTCTTCCTCCAGGGTACTGCTTCATGACAATGGTGTGAGTGAACAAGCCACATGTCTGACGAGGAAGCACCTGTCCACAAAACACACCTTCGATCACTACTTTGGAATTCTAGACTTTGTGTAGTGCAGGCATAATGATAGAAAGTACTGAATGTTAACGTTACTAGGAAATCTAGAATATTCAACATGAAAACTTGCTGTTACCAACTGCACGAACTAAATGGCTACATTACATGCAGAGGTCCATGTACCTTTAACCCTCACCCCTGGGGACCATTGAAATCATGAATATGCTCGTTGGATTTGGCATGATTAGTGTTAATATATACATGTACATGTACACGGTAGCCTTTAATGCTCTTGTCAATATGGAAAGACACTGTGTATCAGTGGAGCCGTGCAGTCAAAATGAGGTATGTTCACCTCACAGAGATGGTACGTTTTGTGCTCATTCCGTTGAAAATTAACAATGTTCACTTGTATCGTATACATACACCAAGCGGTACAAACGCACACCACTGCATGCAAGCAATGTGTCAAGGCTTTGGTAAGTAAACCACACAGTAGTGTCTAGTATACTGGGGTCTGTGATTAGCGCAGGCCTGCGTTACCATGATATCCTTGTAGATGAAGCCTTTTCTCTTCCGAGCTGGTCGAAGAGACGGATACTCCTCCGTGCTGGTTGCCTTGATGCCCCAGACCTGTTTCCAGGCACTATACAGCATGGGGTAGACAGGGTACACGCCTGAATGGTGCGGGGCCACAGCGTAGGAGAATTTCACAGGAATCTGGTGAATCTGTAAGCACAACTGAGAAGTAAGACTCTGATCTCGACCCATCCAAATAAAAATCTAAAGAAATATGTTCCTGGAGGAGAGTAGACAACGGTCCAGTCCAGATGTTTTACGGGTCAATGTTCCAGCAATGTTTTAAAGTGAATTTCTAGTCAAGCTTTGCCAAGGTCCCTGCTCGAGACAACAAACTTCAGGATTTAGCAAACTTTGTGCCAAGCTGAATAGATAGCAATAATATAAATGAGGAAAAGATGCTGCTAAAATTACCTATCAAGCTTCTACCTTCTTAAATACAACCAGCATAAACTGTGCACTTTTTGGTCAAAAACTTTTGCTCACTGCGGTTGAAATTTAGGCACTGATGGCCACTTGTAATAAAATACATATGAATGTTTGCAGACAAAATGAAGGTCTCTGGAACTTGTCAAGTCCAGGCTGGTTTGAAGGCCAAATCTGAACTATGATTAAGCCAACTGCTGATAAGCCTCAAAATGAAATACCTACCTTAGCAAATCGGAAATTCTTCCTCATGTCTGCAATCAGCTGACTCTGGTTGGTAAACATGTGGGGCTGGGCATGGTTCCACATGTGGGGGAACCAGGCAAACTTGTCAGCTTGGGCAACCAGTGCCTCGTCGCCGGCCTTCTCCGCCTCGTTGCCCCGCTTGAAGAACTTACCCGAGAAGCCCAGCTTGAAGGTGAAGCCCGGGATCTTGTCAGCCAAGACTTCCTGCTCTAGGAGTAGTGCCTGCTCAAGTGGAAGGGGCGGAGCCCGGCAAGGCAACGCAGAGGAGGAAAAGATAACACAAGGACATGATGGTGATAGCCATGAGGCTCACTTGGACTTTGATATTGTCTGTAATGTCGGGCCTGAGCCGGGAATTAACAGTAAGCCAATAATTTCCAGATACGGTTTCAGCAACCTTTACTCTCGAATAACAATTTGATTTGAAAATGTTGCTTACAGGATAATTTGGTACTCATATTTTTCATGAAAACATTGTGTTTAATAACTGTACAGGTGGATATCTCAAACAGCAACCTAACGGCTTCATGGAGAAATGTACAGGGGGACCTGGTTGTTGAATAGGCAATTTCAATTAAGTGACCTCCTCTAAAAGTCTCACTGCGGACACGTCTCCCTGGGATTTGGAGATTCGAAATCTGCTTTCCAGGTAGCCTTCTGAATTTAAGTGTTACCGTGGCAATTGGCAATAACATTTCCCAGGGGTTCATACCTCGACATCATCTGTGGTCATCCGAATGCCTTTCATTCCAACAAAGATGTCATCGATGTCGACCTGGATGTATCGGTCCAATGACTTCTGCAGGAGTCTGTGGGAGAGAAAGGCGACACTGTCCAGGAACAGGATATAGTGGAGCCAAAATCGGAAGTTGTTCCCGATGAAAATCCTCTGAATGCCATCATAGAGTCCCTGATCCAGGAGCACTGTTGTGTGGAGGACTTCTGAAGGCGAGTGGAGCTCCAGCGAGTCTTGGCTGAGCATCTTGGCTTGGACAAGGGGCTTGTAGGACTCATGATCAGTCCTGAAGACCGTCCAGTCATTGTAGGGTAGTGTCCCATTTATAAACTGACCCGCTTTAGTGATGTGCAAAATGTCGCTGGCAGCCAAGTTCACGGTAAGGTCCTTCAGGCTGAGTCGTTGGTCCATGTAAACTGGCAGTTGACCGACTTGCCTGGTGTACCCGTTGTCGTCTTCACGGACCACAGCAAACGCCATGATCCCAACGTTATATTTCTTGCAGTACTCATGTACGGTGCGCAGGATGAAGGCATCCAGACTGATATAGGAGTGGATACTTTGGAAGATGATGACCGCGAATTTGCCTGTCCTTTTGTGCTCCAGCCTTGGCCAGCGACGTTCCTTGACAAAGACTGATGTGTAGTCAATGTGGTTGGCTTCCAAAGCACTGGTGATGTTGTACGCAAACACTAAATCGTCTCGCTCCGTGATGACCAGCGCGGAGGGGATTACTCGTAGGTCGTCCTGGTCTGCCAACGGAGTGTGCTTGCCCTGTCGGTGCCTGGCCGACCGCTCCTCCGCACCCAGAGGATGGCTAGGGTCAAGCTTCAAGTGCAGGTCCTTGTCATGTTCGCCTCGCAGCGGCGTCATCATGTTGTAGCTCAAGAACCAGATGGACAGAAGGCTGAGCAAAACCAAGACGAGCATGATCTTCTTGATGCTTGTCATGCTGGAGTAACGGATCAGGTTCATCATGGTCCTCAAAGCTAAGAACCACTGATGACAAGCCTCCAATGGGCTACCTCCCTTGCCGGAGGCTGTAAATATTCAAGATCCATGAAAACCCTCTCGACATGTTCTAATCCACTCCATTTTGTGTCACAACTCCTGACGACAACACTGAAGTGCTATCACTGGACCGGATACTGCCGCAATTACACTATAGAGGTGTATATGGATCACTCAGTTCACCAAATGGTTTGGACCTGCATCTTAATCTTGGACACGTTACTGCACATCGCCTACTTGAGCATCTTGACAGAAGGCTGGTGCTGGTAACATCTGTAGGAGTGGAAGATACTCACTCCAGCAACCTGGCAGAAACATCATCTCATTCTGTCAAATCTGTTGAGTAACATTAACCATAGAGTACAATGTACATGACCGTGCAGTGGCAATAGTATGCAGTAACGTGGTGCATATCAAAATTTCCCTTGACTTTCCTCATGCAATGTTTTAGTGACTGAAAACCAAACCTCTCGAGTTAAAATCCTTCAAATTCAACTTTACTTCATTTCCACTCAACGAACACAAATAAACATGTAGGGCCTAAAGTACATTGTAACACATAAGTGGGTTGGTTTCGCAGGGAAGACCCCCCACCAGAATTGGTCAAGACCAACAAAATCTTTGAAAATAGCTATTCCGTATTCCTGTTGCGTTCAGAAAGTCTTTATAAATGCTTGGCACATGCTGTCATTTGCATGTTTATTTCAGTAAATCCGGTGAAACATTGGGCAGAAAGTAGGCTAGCTACCCTTGAATACTTTTGAGTCAACATATAAAGTACCAAGACTGTCTAAATCAAAACTGGCACTCTCTTCCCGTCATGCCTGTATTGCATGAAGATTTCCTGATGTAACTCTCAAAATGGAAGATTGTGCCAAGCGTTTAAATAATTCTGAACACAGCTGCATAGTTATTTTTGAAGACTTTGCTATTCCCTACCTCCATGCTATTCCAAACTGATTTTGGTCTGGTAAAAAGCAGTATGGGACCCCAGGGATTGTGAATTCAGAGACCCCAAGTTTTTGTCATTTTACTCTGTGCAAACTGGTCATTCTTCAACCCCCCCCAAAAAACCCCAAAACTGCCCTGATCCTGTTTCTGAAATTTCCAATTGTAAATTGTGAGAAAATGTGACTTTCTTACCGATAAACCAGCCACGCAAATTTGACTCCACCATGTGTCATGTGTTGAAACACTCACAGTTTCCCCTCATAATTTCCCTTGAAACTCAAATCCATGCCCTCTTTTCACAACATCAACCCTACAGACTTATTGAGCATGATGTCACAGTCGAGTCATCTACCTAGGGGAATCCCAAAGTTAAAATGTAGGTCTCCCACCTGTTACACGAACAGGGTCCCCAAATTCACAATCCCCGAGACCCCTGAAAACATTGAGTGACAAATTATTTATAACGATACAAACCCCACTAAACCTAAACAAGGGTAGGCTTAGGGACAAATTATACCCCGGAGGAATAGGGAGCTGTTAGATTTCCAGGACTCTAGCTGGTTCCATGTCTTTAGTATGATATTACTCGACCTTACCAGCAGCGGAAGAGTGACATTTTAAACACTTGAAAATGTTTGATCACACAAAACTATGATGTACATGTAGGCTACTGTATGCACCAAGAGAAATACACACGGTACGTGCAGCAAAAACAACGTGAGCAGGTAGTAAGCCGTTTACCTGGTTACCTTCATCTTCACAAAAGATTGTTCACCGTTGCGGGCCCTCCGTCTCAATTAATGTTATACATGTTCACGATGCACACATGTATGATGTACATGTACATGTATGTACCCCTTTCCTCAAAGACTCACCTTACCCACAAAGCCACATATGCTTACAGTGTGGTCATGGGTCAGGACGTCACACTATCGGTAGCTCATGCATGATTCATGATCCGTCATCGCGAGAGGGCGAATCAAATCCAACCACAGGGTTGTAGGCAGGTTATTTATGTCTGTGGTTGTAGGCCAGTAAATAAACTGTCATAACCAACAGTGATAAATACCGAACTTCAACAAGATGAGGAAAAATCATACTCATGAGCTTCTTGGGCGTTCGAGACCCACATCAATTTAAAGCTCATTTTGTGATTTGTCATTTTCTTTTAAAATTTCCATTCATTAACAGATGACTTGTGAAGATGTTTTTTTTCCCACGGAATGCCACCCCTAAAAAGCAGTCGTGAAGCCCCGGGCCATTTTGAAATGTCGATGCCTACACTTGTCAAAAAAAATGACCGTTTTGGGGCACCGATTTCTTCCAACTCTCACTCAGACACAAGCCGGGATTCGTTTTGCTCGCCTAAACCTGTCCTTTTTTACAAATCTTCAAATTTCAGAATTTGTGCACACAGACTGTGATTTAGACCGCGCTAACAGTTTTCGGCCAATTCACTGGCTTGTATCCAGCGCCCGACTGAGGGTGCTGAGGCCGAGAGAAAGGCTGGGTGACGGGCAAACCACAGCTATGTGATACGACTATGACGTCAACAGAGCGGACCCTTTTGGATCGATCCCTCACTTTTCTGTGTGAGAAAATTATTAAGGCATATAATAAACTTTGAAGAATATGTTTTCGGACTTCTCAACAACCAAAATGCATTTACAAGCACTCAAAAGGGAGCACATGTTTAAATGCCATGATATGCCGTTCTGGTGTGAGATTCTACACGAATGTAGGCCTAATGTATTACCGGTTTCTCAGCTTTTGCTAACCGCGTGTCCATACGACGCGTAAAGGTTTTTTCTTCTTTGCAGTGTGTGATGGTTTCAACATGAATTTTCTGCATACACTGCCTTGCGTGAGGCTTCTAAACTCAAAACAAACCGCTTCATTATTTCATTTCTCAAGTTTAGAAGCAAAAGCGCCATTGCAAAGCGGGGCAAGGTGACGTCGAGCCTGGGAAAATAGAATTTACCCGGCTTGTTTCAGGGGTTGAATAGTTAAACGATTCACCTGGTACCCCAACGTTGGGAAAATAAATTGCCCCGCGTTTTTACAAAATAAAGGGTGGATAAAGGGCCCCTTAAAAATGAGTCATTTTTATAGGACGACCCATTGGCCATTTTTGGCTCTATTTCTGTTCACTTGCTTCCAAATCATCAGACAATGGAAATAAAGGTAGCACTTTTAAGAATAACTTCAGAGTTACCAAGAAAGCTAATAGTGCAGTTATTGTTTTAGTGCTGCATTTATTTCCATTATCTGTTATTTTTTACTAACACGGCCACCCACAGTAAAGTTCCCAAAGCGAGTGAAAAATTAATGTAGCTTTATATATAGCCCCCCGAAAGACTACAAGTCAAAATGACAATATTTCCAACATAGTTGGCCCCGACCTTCCTGCTGTCTGTTTCACTGTTAGTGTCACAGACCGTTGCCAATGGTATGCCTCGGTGTTTGTGCGCTGTAAGCTATATAAGATGGTTGTACATGTATGTCTTTTTTATCAAAAGGTACGGCCTACAAGCTTCACAATACAGCGCCGCTCAGCAGGAGAGCCAACCTACAACAAAAAGCCCCAAAGTATTTGTCGACAAAACTATTGTATAAATAAAAACACATTTGTTACTTCCTATATTTCGTCGTGGGCCTTATTGTGGGAGGGGGTATGTGAAAATGTGGGGGGAAGTTCCCTTCATTTGTTTAACACCGTTGCACAAACCACAATCTGAAATGCGTTTAATTCTGTTTGTTCAGCGTCTGGAACACGCAGAACTCGTAAGGCGCCCGCGAGCTTTTCCCTGAAACTTCTCATTACGTGTGTGGCTTTCAGGTATGTCTCGAGACCACACTGTGGAATTGCCATTATTTAATTGTCCAGCAACCTGCGTAAGTGCTTTTTGCGTTGCCACTGGTAACCGTCACCGTCTGGCGATTTCTTGTAATGGCTGCCATTGTACTTGGATGTTGTTGGATGCAATGAGTGTTTCGAAATATCAAATTTTCAACTGACGCTAAGTAAGTTCCATGGCTGAGACATGCTTGTCCAGTTATTTGCTATACACTCAGATTTATTTGTAGATCATGTTCCTTCCCGATTTTATGTTTTATTTTATCCGTGTAGTGACTGATTTTTACATGAATTTCATCCAACCGTAGATGAATATTCCATGTGGAAAAAATTCAAGGTGTGAAAGCACTTCGGAAATTCTTGCAGGCCCCTTTTGCGCACAACTGTAGTTTGCTCACCAGTTGGGCTTTTTTTAGCCTCAAACATGAACATACAAAATGTCCGGTTAACGATCCATCAAGATCTTGTCAGGTTATGGCCAATTGCCCGTACTAACGTTACTAACCCTATAGCTAAGAAACGCAAACCGTTAATGGATTTGGATTTCTATGGCCTCGATCGAGACATTGTATCTCTGATTTACTTTATTTCTTTCTTTTAAATGTATCTTTCTCCCGATTGGATGTGCCAAGGATTTAAACGCATAGTGATGACAGTCAGTTCTGGGAAGGGTGCATTAAACCCCTTCCCATTCCACTG